CAGTGGCAGTGCTAATCCACAAACCTAGAAGAGGAGATGCTTTATTCTGAGCCAAACTGGTGTTGATATATAGTAAGAGGCAAGCATTACACAAAAGTTCAGATGAGCTTAAGCCATTTTTCAAGAAAAGTTGAACTCGGGGCTGCAACCCTATGAACCTTTGAGAATAAGATCTTGTTGGAACTGGGGGGAATGAAAAGCCCACTCATATTCACCCAGCAATGCCAGTGAACAGCCAGATCATTCATTACTCCAGGAGCAGCACATTATCGAGATCCTGTAGAGTTTCATTTGCACTCGGCACATGCTGGGCTTTGAACAGTGTGGGCTGCAGGGACACTGACTAGGAGAAACAGAGAAAAGGCACACTGCTGTTGAAAGCACTGTTGCACTCCGGTGCCTCTGGTCTGATCCAGCAAGAAGTCCCAAAGTCAGGTACTTTAAAGCACTATGCAGGGCTGGTAAAGAGCCCTGTGAGGTGCTTTAAAGTGCCTTAAGCTTTAGGCCCTACTGCCCCTTAGCTGACTGAGTAGAGCCAAAACCTGCTCTCTCTTGCCAATGCACAAGCCAGTGTGCGCTTCAGGTCTCCTGACTCCACACTGGCAATTACGTCTCAGCTTTCCCACACCTGACATCACATATGCTGTAATTCCAAACGGGCCTTAGGGAAAGGACGTATTTGCAATGCATTTTGTAGATTCTCCTAGCACAGGGACGTCCAACTTCCAAGAGACTGCGATCTACTCACACAATTAAAAACTGGCAGTGACTACCCCTTTTGGGGGGGGGGGTTCAGGCCAAAAACTACCCCTTTTGGGGGGGGTCAGGTCAAAGTTGTTGAACTTTCTTTTTAGGGAGGAACATCTCTTTTTTGGGGGGGAGTAGGGCAAAGGAATAAATGAATAAAGTCACTCACCTAGAAATCGCTAATGAAACAGTAAGCCTCGCAGCAAGGCCTCCAACTTCCGTTCTGGCTATCTAGAGGATGGGGCCAGGGGCCAGGGCCGGATGGAGGAGCCAGCAATCGACCGCGATCTACCAAAACCTCCCAGGGATCGACCAGTTGATCGCGATAGACCTGTTGGACATCCCTGTCCTTGCAGTATGCACATTCTCTGGGCAGCATGTACAGTGTCCAAGAAACATGCCTTTCCCCTATTTCTTGTGCGATCTTCTGCCTGGGCTAGTTCTGGCCTGCTGCCTCCGCTTACATGGCCAACAATGAACCCTCCTATTGATCAGTCAAGCAGTAGGAAAGGGGGCACCATATAAAGATTCACTTGGTTCTTCAGTCCAGCCCCCTTTTTACCACTCTCAGCGCAAGGGCAATTGCAGGGAGAGGAAAATTGTAAAACTTCCCTATTGCTTAGGGAAAAGCTTACTAGCAGCACATGCATCTCTCCGCCATACACTATACAGTTGCACATACATCTTTCCCTCTCTTTTTGCCCAAGAGCATCTCTCTCAGACAAGCACATACACAGCATAATTGACCACCCCACCAAAAAAAGAAAAAAAGAAAAGCCCCTCCACAGGTGGAGGAAGTGCCTGCAATTAAAAGAAAAAAATAGCATTAAAAAATGCACAAGGGCCACCAACCCGGTGCCTGTGGATGCCCTGGTGGGGATTCCTGTACTAGAGAGATCCAGCAATGTACAACAAATACAAAGCGAAGACCAAAGAGCAGCCACCCAAAGAGAACCAGCAACAAATGCTCCACATTCTCCGCAATCTCATGTCCCTTCCAAGGAATCAAGAAAGTGGCACCAAGACACAGCATTCCACAGGCACCTGGAGAGCAGAATTAGAAACTCAGATATATAAGCTAGCTGCCAAATGCAACCTTATGCCTGGGCTGCCACAAAGCAATGTCTATCTGCCAGGGGATTGACTAGATGGCCCTCAGGGGCCTCCCAATGCTACGATTCTAGGATCTTAACTACATTGCCTGACTGCAGCTTCCTCTTGCAACAATTCACTTGTCAGTGTGCAAGGAGGAGAAACACACACAGGGGAAATGGAAATGGTATTAACAATGGACTAAGGCAGAGGTTTGTAAATTGTGGTCTGTGAGTTCCGTTTGGCTGGCCTGTGGAAAGGCTACAGCACAGTGAAATGGATCTGTACTCAGCCCTGCACTTACTTTCCTTGATGTAATGATGGAGGACACCCAGGCGTGTGTCTTTTGCTGGCTTGACGGAGATGTCAGTTGCAACCCGGCGCCCAAAAATCTCCACACAGGTGCAACTGGACCCGTGCGTGGCACCTGGGGAACTTCATACACTGCCTGAAAGCGTAGCTCTTCTCAGGAATTACTGACCTGAAGAGGCAACAGAAGCACAGTGGGGCCACGCATTTAGCCCACATAACTGAGAACCTCACAAGATCAAGGTTCTCAATTGTATTGGAAGCCTACATAGACACAAAAGGCACACGACTCTCATCGTGTGAGGGGCTGAGAAACTACAGTGGTACCTTGGGTTAAGTACTTAATTCGTTCCAGAGGTTCGTTCTTAACCTGAAACTGTTCTTAACCTGAAGACCACTTTAGCTAATGGGGCCTTCTGCTGCTGCCGCGCCGCCGGAACCCGATTTCTGTTCTTATCCTGAAGCAAAGTTCTTAACCTGAAGCACTATTTCTGGGTTAGCAGAGTCTGTAACCTGAAGCGTATGTAACCTGAAGCGGGTGTAACCCAAGGTACCACTGTAATGTGTACCTCTGGGTCAGGGCTTAAGCGCACAGCCCAGTTTCCAAGACAGTGATACCTGAAGGGAACTTCAGTCATTCGTGTTTACAGACAAATAATTATTGTGCATCTCTCTAACCCATTATTCCTCTGAGGCATCTAGACTATCATGAATGGACAACGGGCAGAGGAGAAAATGATGGATTGAAAGACTAGAAAACAAAGGTACACCCCCTTGAAGGTTGGTAATGAACTAGAGTAATAGTCCAGAATAAGTAGAGGCATAGACAGGTTTGTCGGCAAAGGTACAGACAACAGAAAACTGCAGCCAATCCTGGCTCGCTCATGTGTGCTTGGATTATACATGTGCCTGTTACGTGGTTTTAGGTGTATACCTGAAAAACCTTGTGTGAAAATGTTCTGAAGCCAAATGCAATTTTACAGTTCATGCAACCTCTTATTACAACACCCTCCATTGCTCATTCAAAGAATGAGATTTTCCCTCTGTCCCTTTTGTTCCCCATTGCCAACTGCAGCTTATGATTTCAAACTCCTGAGCTACAGCAAATCTGATTCAAGCCTTACTATGCCTCTTGACACCTGATGTGCTTCTCTGGAGCAACCCACTTTGGGGGGGCGGGAGAGAAGAAAACGAGGACACACACAAAGAAGAGCACAGCTTCAGCTCAATTTCACCCCAGCTGGTATGGTAGCCACCCAGAGTTTAGACTGATTCATCTTTTGCCAGTTTTTTGCTTTTCGTTTAAACAGGTTCATCTAAATGCTGATGTTACATATTAGTGCACGAAGTGTGGCGGCGGAATTTGGGCAATTCCATTTCAGATGGCATGTGTGTGAACTTGGGGGAAGACAACTTTCTGAGTGTTTCCTCATGTAATAAACTGAACACATCACAGCAAGGGCTACAACTATAGCACTCGTTCTAATGTGCTAGTTTATTACATAAATAAAATGTTGTACATGGGATGCTTAACCCCATACATCCTACAATCTGAAATGGTACAGTCCAGGTATGTAATAATCAGCATAATCTGCAGATCATGTCTTAATATGGGGGGGGGGACGCAGAAGTCCAAAGCTGTTAAGAACTGTTATATGCAAATGCTGTGTGGGGTGTGTAAAACATAAGGACAAAATGCAATAAAATAGTGCTAAAACATAACACACACAAAATCACAGAGAAGGTTCTAGGTTAACCTTTTCCTCAACATGCCAGGGTTTGGATGTGGAGATAGCATTTTATCCAGGTGAGCATTCAAACATTCAACACCACACCTGCTGTCCAGCAACATGGGGCTCTTCCTCCAGATGTTTTTGGACTCTAAGCCCCACTATCTCTGACAATTGGCCTTGCAAGCTGGGGCTGAAGGGAGACGGAATCCAACATCTGGAAAGCCAACTGTTCCCTTCCCGATCTAACCAAACTGACAGAACATGGCATTTTTGTTCCTCACCAGCTGGTGCGCCTTCCATTCAGAAGAGATATGAAGCGTCTAACCCTGCATGTTTACTAAGCAGCACCACCGGGTTGCGGCTCCATGTTGCTGCCACACCTCCTTTACTACCTTTAGATTGTACAGCTGCGAAACTGTAAAGGACAGAGAACTTCACCACCTAATGCCACCTTACAGATAGGTAGCCGTGTTGGTCTGCCATGGTCAAAACAAAAAAAATTCCTTCCAGTAGCACCTTAAAGACCAACTAAGTTAGTTCTTGGTATGAGCTTTCGTGTGCATGCACACTTCTTCAGATACCTGAAGGTATCTGAAGAAGTGTGATGCCTGATACCTGATACCTTCAGGTATCTGAAGAAGTGTGAATGCACACGAAAGCTCATACCAAGAACTAACTTAGTTGGTCTTTAAGGTGCTACTGGAAGGAATTTTTTTTGTAATGCCACCTTGTTTGCAGTGCTGGCTGATCCCGAACGCCTTGCAAGTTGAACGTTTTGGCTCCCGAACGCCGCAAACCTGGAAGTGAATGTTCGGGTTTGCAAATGTTCTTTGGAACCCGAACATCCGATGCAACTTCCGCTGCTTCCGACTGGCTGCAGGAGCTTCCGTTCGACCTCTGAGGTACGACTGAACATGTAAATGGGCTGCAGAAATTGAGCTGAAGACCAAAATTTAAAAGGGGAGATTCATCCAGCTTGATGAATTCTGTTTCTCTTCTGGCTTCAGTTTAAGTTTTGTATCTATTAAATAAAAAAACCCCCACCTTTAAAAAATAAAGCAGGAAATAGAGATTAAATGCAAATTGCTGCTCTGGCTTCCCAAATCTGCTTTGACCTACCTCAAGTGTCCCAGGCTATAATAGCGTGATTCTCCATCTGTCGATCGAACCACCTTGACCGTGAACATTGGTTGCAGCTGCCTCAGTTCCAGCACCACAAGGGCGAGATAGTGGACAAAGAGAAGAGCATCCACCAGCGACACAGCAAACTGTACAATCCCCTGGTAATTGATGTCCTTGGATTCCAAAATGCGGACGGCATAAAAGAGCCAGTAAGAAAACACCAGCAGAAATAAGAGGACCAAAATGAGGGTGCGAAAGACAAACACCCTGGGGAGGTCAGCCTTGGGCTGGCGGAAGAAGAGAGCCCAGGTGCCAATCAAGAGGATGAGGAGTTTGAAAGCCACAGAGATGAAGAGTCCCTCACAAGCCGTGCCACATGGCTCTAACTCAGTCCTCCGCAGGATCTGCGGGAGAAGAATGAAGGCAACAGGGGTGAGGAAGACGAGGAGTCCCAGAACAGCAGCCAACGTCAAGAGAAAATAGCGCTTGCACTCTACGCCAACGCTGTCCTCCAAGTCCTTGCTGATCCTGGAAATGTCCTCCTGGGACATGCTATGTTCAGAGGTACCTGTGATGGCAGTTGTGGTCTCACCCCAGTTGTCATCCTAAGCAGAAAAGAAGAGAACACGTTCATAAGCAACTCCGATAGTCAGGACACTTTCAGATGGCCCTCGTTTTGCAGGCGAAGAGGGCTAGTTCAGGGCCTCCAATCCCCCAATGCATGGGCCTATGAACCCACACAGCTGACAAGAGACCAGAGCAAGCTATGCCCTCTGCATTTATGGCTTCCCCACACTGAAGAGGATGCCCTGGAGAAATAGGCAAAAGCCTTTCCATAGGATGTTTCCCGATTTCCTCAGTTGACTGTCCTCATAGCCACCTGGGATAACAGTAAACCGCACAGTTTCCCTCCCATATTCTCATTGTTAGCTTTACTTTTGTGAAGAGCATACTTCACTTTAAAATGGGGGGAAACATCTCAGCCAGTTACTCATCCCTCAGTAGTTATACTTGACATCTAAGTGGTCAAAAAAGATTTGGTCAGTTGACGAGTCACATAGTTAAAAGATATTGTTACAAGGAAGAACAATTACAGTGGTACCTCGGGTTAAGAACTTAATTCATTCCGGAGGTCCATTCTTAACCTGAAACTGTTCTTGACCTGAGGTACCACTTTAGCTAATGGGGCCTCCTGCTGCCGTCGCACGACTGCTGTTCTCATCCTGAAGCAAAGTTATTAACCCGAGGTACTATTTCTGGGTTAGCAGAGTCTGTAACCTGAAGCGTCTGTAACCTGAAGCATCTGTAACCCGAGGTACCACTGTAATAGGCCTAATACATTAATTACCCAAAAAACCTGTGAGATGTCATCATTATACACTATTGTTAAAAATAATTTCCTGCCTTCCTCCTAGGAAAACATACATGTTTGCACATCACAATAAAGCCAATCTTTTGGGTTTAGCATGGTTTACTAAGAAGGGACGTGGGTGGTGCTGTGGGTTAAACCACAGAGCCTAGGACTTGCCGATCAGAAGGTCAGCAGTTCGAATCCCCGCGATGGGGTGAGCTCCCGTTGCTCAGTCCCTGCTCCTGCCAACCTAGCAGTTCGAAAGCACATCAAAATGCAAGTAGATAAATAGGTACAGTGGTGCCCCGCAAGACGAATGCCTCGCAAGACGAAAAACTCGCTAGACGAAAGGGTTTTCCGTTTTTTGAGTCGTTCCGCAAGACGAATTTCCCTATGGGCTTGCTTCGCAAGACGAAACGTCTTGCGAGTTCTTGCGAGTTTGTTTCCTTTTTCTTAAAGCCGCTGTCAGAGTTGCTTCAAGATCCTAGCTCACGGAGGATCACGCTAGCCAACGGTCATTAAGTAAAAGTCTTTATTGAGTTAGTTTCCATTCTCAAGCTGCTGCGTGCAACTCTACGTCTAGTAGCTAGATCGGCGAAGCTCCGTCTGAATCTCCGCCCCTTGTACACCAACTTAATATCCTAGCCCTGCTCCACCTTTTCCGCCTGACTGTTCTTCTCTGGGTCCCTCTGCCCCCCTGGGTCTCTTCCTTCCGGGATTCTTCTGACGCTGACCCCCCGGACCCTCCTGTCTCCTTGCGCCGGGCTTTAGGACCTGGCTCCCTTTCCGGGCTGCCTACTGCGCCGCCTTCCTGTGCATTTGAACTTGGCGCGCGCGCCCAACCTTCCACCTTCCGTCTAACCGTCTCTTCGCTCCCAGATGGAGGTGTGGCCACTCCTGACTCGTGCCCTCCCTCCTGTTGTGGGCTGCCAGCGCTTGCCCCCTGGCTCCCTTCCTCTTCCCTGTTCTCTGGCGGTGACGCTGGTCCCGATCTCCAACTGCTCTCCTCTGAGTCCCCTCTGGCTCTATCTTCCTGGGGTGCCCCCCTAAACTCCCCCCTTGCCCTGGCCACTGGTGCTCCTTTCTGTGAATCCTCCGATTCACTGGAAAGACTCGGAGATCTCGGGTCGTCGTCATCACTCATCTTTTCTTCTGCCTCCTCCCCTTCGCTCTCTGTTTCCTCCCTTGCCCTTGCCTCTGCTCCTGAACCCCTGACATCCATCCCCCCCTCGAAGCCCCCCACTCCCCCTTCCCCTCCTTCCGGTGCTGGAGCTGGGTGCTGCTGTGTCAAGGGGACGAATGTCGGGTACCGTTCGCTTCCCGTAGCGGGCCTCCATCCGAAGTCTTCCGGTTCTTCCTCCCTGCTCTCGTCGACGACGGTCACCTCTGCTTCCATCTCTGTGCCGCCGTGCTCGAAACCAGGGTCGTCCCCGAAAACGTCCATGTCCGTCTCTCCCTCACTTCCTCCTGGCGGCGTTGCTCGTCCTGGACCTTCTTGCCACTTCCTGCGCCACTGCTCCTCTGGTCTGTCGTCCCACCAATACGAGGGTTCTGAGGCAGATCCCGAGGGTGACCCCTCCGGGGAACGGACGTCTCGTGTCGGGTCCTCGTCCGAGTCGAACCCCCGAAACGTGCTGGCCGAAAGCGTGGGCGTGAAAAGCCAGTCGTCGAAAAAGTCTGCTGGCATTGGTCTATGTGGGAAGAGGGCATGAAACTCGTCTTTGAGCAGAGGTTCGTCCAAGGCGTAGCCCGGCACCCAGCTGTTCGCACTGGCCGGGGTGCCCTCCTTGGCGAGAAAGTATTCTACCCCTTCTTCCCCCCATCTGGAATCCAAAATTTCTGTGACTTCGTTGATGCGCTCCTTCTGTGCCACTCCTGCGTGCCCTGTTCTGTCTCTGACCGGACTCGGCGCCGTTCCGGGTTCCTGAAACCTGTGCGGTGCCTTGTAGGGAGTGAGCACCGATCTGTGGAACACCGGATGCATTCTGGAACCCTCCGGAAGCGCCAGCCTGAAGGCCACCGGGTTGACCTGCTCTTCGACTTGATAGGGCCCCAGTTGCTTATGCCCTAGTTTCTTCTTGGCCAACGACCTGGCCGGCACTGCGTGGGCTGCTAACCAGACCCAGTCTCCCACGTGGAGCTCTTCGCCAACCCTTCTGCGTTTGTCCGCTTGTACCTTGTATGCGTGCTTGGCCAGCTCCAGGTGGCGCCTCAGCTGATCGTGGACTTCCTGCAGCTCCGACGCGAACGCATCTGCTGTCTGCGGCTCCCCCTCCCCCAGCCTTTCCAGTCCCGGGAAGGTTCTGGGGTGCCTCCCATTGTTGGCGAAGAACGGCGTGACCCCCGTGGACACGTGCTTCGTGTTGTTGTAGGCGAACTCGGCGAGCGGCAGGTAATCCACCCACGTCGCAGGCTGTTGATTTGCATAACACCTCAAGTACTGCTGCATGATGGCATTGACCCGCTCCGCTTGCCCGTTGGTCTGCGGGTGTCTCGCCGACGCCAGGTTGATCTTGACGTTCAGGAAGCCCATCAGCTTCTGCCAGAAATTCGAGATGAACTGCCGCCCCCGGTCGGACAGAATAGACCGTGGCAGACCGTGAACCTTGAACACGTGGTCTATGAACAGTTTGGCGGTTTGCTCCGCCGTGGCCACCTTCGCACACGGAATGAAATGTGCCATCTTGGAAAACAGGTCCACCACCACCAGCACTGCCGTCTTGCCCCTCGAGCTGGGCAGATCCGTGACAAAGTCCAGGGCCACTCTCTCCCAAGGTTCGACCGGAGTTTGCAGCGGTTCCAACAGTCCGGCCGGCGGTCTATGCACTGGCTTCGCCCTCTGGCAGGTGTCACACCTCGCCACGTAGTCCGCGACCTCCCCTCTCATTCCAGGCCACCAGAAATCCCTGGCGACTAATTCCACCGTCTTCTCCTTGCCGAAGTGCCCGGCAGTGGGCGCGTCGTGCAGCTGCTGCAGCACCTTGGCGCGAAGTTCGTCTCCCGGCACGTAGATGGCCCCTTTACGGATGAGCAATCCATCTCTTAGCTGGAAACCGTCGGCCGCTGCCTTGCCCCTTTGCACCTCTGCCATCTTTGCTTGTGCGAAGGAGTCCCCCTGCAACGCTCGTCGCACCGCCTCCAGGTCCACGGTTGCCGCGGCGCACGCCCACACTGTTGGTGCGAAGATGTGCATGGCGGCCGCTGGCGTTGCGTCCTCCAGATACTGTGGCTTACGAGAGAGAGCGTCCGCCATGATGTTGGTGTCCCCCGGGACATACTCTATTCGGAAGTCGAAGTTCGCAAAGAACTCAGCCCAACGTATCTGCCTCTGGTTCAGGAACTGTGCCGTGCGCCAGTGCTCTAGGTTCTTGTGGTCCGTGCAAACCTGCACCGTGTGCTTGGCGCCGATCAGAAAGTGCCTCCACGCCTTGAACGCTGCATGAATGGCCAGCAACTCCCTGTCCCATATGGTGTAGTTCTGCTCGGACTTGCTGAGCTTCCTGGAGTAAAACGCTCCCGGTCGCCACACCCCCTGCGGGTCTTTCTGCAGCAGGACCGCCCCCACGGCTCTGTCCGAGGCGTCTGTCTCCACCCTCATCGGCTTGCTGGGGTTGACATGAAGCAGCTGCTCTTCCGACGCGAAGAGACGCTTGAGTGCCTGAAAGGACTGTTCCGCCTGCTCTGTCCAAATGAACTTCTTTTTCTTGGAGCTAAGCGTGTCAGTGATGGCCGCCGTCTGCATAGCGAAGCCCTTGATAAACTTGCGATAGAAGTTCGCAAAGCCGACAAACCGTTGGACCTCCTTCCGGTTGCGCGGGCTCTTCCAATCCAACACCGCTCGAACCTTGGCGCTGTCCATGGCGAGCCCCTTGTCAGACAGCTTGTAGCCCAGAAAATCCACCTCCGTCACGTCAAATTGGCACTTCTCCAGCTTGGCGTAGAGCCTATGTTGCTTTAGCCTGTTCAGCACTTCCTTGACGTGTTTGTCATGCTCCTGTTGCGACTCCGAAAAGATCAGGATGTCATCTAAGAAACAGACGCACGTCTTGTAGAGAAGTCCCGTCAACACGTGATGCATGAATGCTTGAAAAACGTGGGAGCCATTTTGCAATCCAAAAGGCATAACTCTATATTCGTAGGTCCCCAGTGGCGTGAACATGGCTGTTTTCCACTCATCTCCCTCCCGCATGCGAATGAGGTTGTACGCCCCTCGCAGGTCCAACTTGGTGAACACTCTGCCCTTCCGCACCTTTGCGAGGAGGTCGTCAATTCGGGGCATGGGGAAGTCCGATGGCTTAGTCACACTGTTCAAAATCCTGTAATCCACTACGAGTCTCTTTTGGGGCGTATCCCGCTTCTTAACGAAGAACACCGGACTGCCTCCCGCCGCCTTGGACTCTCGGATGAAACCGCGCTCCAAATTATGATCTATGAACTCTTTGAGTTCTTGCAGTTCGTCCTCTGACATGGAATACAGTCTCCCCTTAGGCAGCGCCGCCCCTGGCAGCAGGTCAATCTTGCAGTCATATGGCCTGTGAGGGGGTAGCCTGTCTGCCTCCTTCTCGCAGAAAACTTCCAAAAATTCTGCGTACTTGTGGGGAATCGCTTGCAGCGTGCCTAGCAGCAGCTGTGACTCCTCTTCCTCTCCTTCCTGCCTGGGCATGATGCAGTGTTCAGCACAAAAGGAAGAGCCGAAGGTCAGCTGCCTCTGGTACCAAGCCAGCGTTGGGCTGTGCTTGTCCAGCCAACTCATGCCCAACACAATGGGCGTGTCTGACAATTGAGTGACGTTGAAGCTGATGACTTCTTTGTGATTCCCAAGTCGCATCACCATTGGTGGCGTCTGCTGCACCACTTGCCCCCCTAGCAGCTCCCTGCCATCCACCGTGACAACCTGCAGGGGCAGTGTGGCCGGCAGCAACTGTATAGCATGCTTGTTGACAAAGTCCTGCCCTATAAAGTCCGCATTGCTGCCTGAGTCAATGGTGATTGGCACGTCCATGGTGATGCCATTGGGCAGCTGGAGAGATGCGGTGAGCCTCACCACTGGTTTGGGCGGGAGGGGGTTCACGGGCTGTAAAATCTCTGGGGACTGCATCACTAATACGTCTGGCTGGGCCCCAGTGCCTCTTCCTCCAGCCAGACTGCGTCGTTTCCCTGCTGTGGTCCTCCTTGCTGCGTTGCTGCAGTCACCATTGCTGAAGCTGCAGTGAGCTTGTGGAGCCTCTGGGGACACTCTTTCGCCATATGCCCTGGCTCCTCACAGACGTAACACTTCCTGTTCCCTCTAGGAGGCTTCGCTTTCACTGCTGCTGGTGCTAGGGCTCTGGTTGCTGACTGAGCCCTGGCACCTCCAAACTCCATAGGTTCAGCTCCTCCTCCTGGCGGAGGCGTGGATTGCGTACGTGCTGCTTCTCTGGGAAAGAAGGAGGAGCCCCTGGCTGGTTCGCGCCCTCCACGCCCTTCGTCCCTGCTCCACGGACGTCCTTCCAGCCGCACCCCCACTGCCAGCGCCCTCTGCACGACCTCCTGGGTGGTCCGGGGTCTCTCCCCCCTCGCAATTTCATCTTTCAAAGAGCTGTTTAATCCCTCCCAGAACAGGTCTCTTACAGGAGCCGAATCTCTGTCCCATTCTAGGGCACTGACCAAGGCGAAAAAGCGGGCATGGTACTGCCGTACGCTGGCCCTTCCCTGCTTCAGTCCATGAATCTGTTGCCGAGCAAGATCCACGTCAATGCTTGATAAAAAACACCCATCCATCGCTTTAATAAAGGCATTCGCATTTTGGAGCGCCGGATCGTTATCCCTCCACAAATTGCGCAGCCATGCCCTGGCATCCCCATGCAAATAGGACATGATGAATCCCACTTTCTCCTGCTCATCTCTAAAATCTTTATTCAGCAGTTGCAGTGCACACAGTACGTCTGCTCTAAAATTGGGATACTGTTGCAGGTTCCCATCGAAGTGAGAGACCAGACCGCCTGTGCGTCTCCCCAAACCAATCCCCTCTGGTTTGGGTGTCTGTTGCCCTTGCTTCGTAAGCACTTCCAACCTGACCTGGAGATCCCTGTAGGCGGCAGCTGCGTCCTCCTCTCTCTTCCTGGATGCGAGAGCCTCGGCATTCAGCTGTGACACTGCTTCTCTGAGTTCCGCTATCTGCTGTTCAGCCGTCATGTCGGCTGCCGTTCGTGAGCTCGCTAGTAGGCACCTGCTTCTCTCCTCTCCTCGAGGCTGTAGATGCCCACAATTTTTGAGACGGAGCTTACTGTCAGAGTTGCTTCAAGATCCTAGCTCACGGAGGATCACGCTAGCCAACGGTCATTAAGTAAAAGTCTTTATTGAGTTAGTTTCCATTCTCAAGCTGCTGCGTGCAACTCTACGTCTAGTAGCTAGATCGGCGAAGCTCCGTCTGAATCTCCGCCCCTTGTACACCAACTTAATATCCTAGCCCTGCTCCACCTTTTCCGCCTGACTGTTCTTCTCTGGGTCCCTCTGCCCCCCTGGGTCTCTTCCTTCCGGGATTCTTCTGACGCTGACCCCCCGGACCCTCCTGTCTCCTTGCGCCGGGCTTTAGGACCTGGCTCCCTTTCCGGGCTGCCTACTGCGCCGCCTTCCTGTGCATTTGAACTTGGCGCGCGCGCCCAACCTTCCACCTTCCGTCTAACCGTCTCTTCGCTCCCAGATGGAGGTGTGGCCACTCCTGACTCGTGCCCTCCCTCCTGTTGTGGGCTGCCAGCGCTTGCCCCCTGGCTCCCTTCCTCTTCCCTGTTCTCTGGCGGTGACGCTGGTCCCGATCTCCAACTGCTCTCCTCTGAGTCCCCTCTGGCTCTATCTTCCTGGGGTGCCCCCCTAAACTCCCCCCTTGCCCTGGCCACTGGTGCTCCTTTCTGTGAATCCTCCGATTCACTGGAAAGACTCGGAGCTGTACAGCTCTGGCAGGTAGGTAAATGGCATCTCCGTGCGCTGCTCTGGTTCGCCAGAAGTGGCTTAGTCATGCTGGCCACATGACCCGGAAGCTGTACACCGGCTCCCTCGGCCAATAAACGAGATGAGCAACCCCAGAGTTGGCCACAACTGGACTAATGGTCAGGGGTCCCTTTACCTTTTTACTAAGAGCAAGCAGAGCACACATTGCCTGATAGCTCATACAGTACTTTGTTCCTCCTGTGGTGTGAGCAGGATAGACAAACCAGGAAGTCTTGGCCTCCCATTACATCTGAACCATGGACCATGGTTTGCTGCTCCCTAACAAGCCATGATCAACAAGTCAACACCAAACCATGGCTCAAGTTTGTGGCTTAGGGAGCCACAAAGGGGAATCCAAGAGTTCTGTTTGTTTGTTCCACTCTCTCCAGGGAAGGAGTCATCAGACTTATTCAGACAGTCTAGTTTTTTAGGATGTGCAAACACTGCCATTGTTTCCCTCATCTATTTTCTCCTAGCAACTAGTTGTGAGATAGGGCGTAAGTAGCTTTGGGCTAATCAACATCCCTAAGGATTTTCATGGCTGAGGATTTAAACCTGGATCATCGAAGGCTCTACTCACTGGGAAGTTTCCTTGGCCACTGTAGACATAACAAGTAGCCAGTGGCAGAAGCTGTGTATCTTGCAATGTTTACCAAATATAGTGTCAGATATCAGACCACCAATGTTGTGCTGTGCCCATGTAATCCTGTTCTAGGTGTCAAGTCATTTAGTCTGCCAAGTATGGATCTGAAATAGAGCTGCCATTTAGGAAATTAGATTGCCAAAGGTCTTTCGCTTACTCCAGTGCTCTGCAAATTGCAGTAAACTACCAAAGGTACATATAATTGGTAGATCTTTCTCCCCACGTCATCTTAGCCAAAGGCCAATGAAACTACACAGAAAGATGGCAATAAGCCAGCCACTGCTTCCCCTTTGCCCTTCAGCAATTTGCAAAACATTTTTGGATTAGAGAACTTTTGCAAGATACCGTATGCAAGGCGAATCTTGCACACTGGTAAACTTTTCCACAGCCCTTCCAAAACTGAAAAGCACATTTTCTTTAAGGCAAGCCATTGGAAGTCTTATTTTTAAAGATGCCAAAAGACTCGCCCAAGGCAAGTTCAAGGCAGTCTGAGGCAGAGGTGAGGCAATCTCTCAAATGCATGTCCAACTCTGTACTGAATTACCTTGGCTGTCTACTAAGGGCCTGGTTGGCCTGTTTGTCTAAAAGTCAGGTTTACCAGGAGTGGCAAAGAAACTGAACATCTGTTAGATTCAAATAAGAAGATTCCCGTCCAAGTGGGCCTCACCAGAGATTACTGCAACAAGGCAGAAGAGTGTGTGTAAGAGAGAAAGAGAGAGAATGTGAATGAGTTATGAAGTCTCTAGTGAGCGGTACAGGAGAAACGAGTGGTGCTATTTTCGTTTGCAGTCAGAAAGCATCAGATCCCATGGAAGCCATTAGCAGTCAGTCCACCCAGACATATCAGTTGAAAGATATTTTTCAAATATCTGCTATTTATAGTGCAGCATCCTGTGTCAAGAATAACTCAGATTACAACCGGACACTGGAGCATTGGCCAAAAGCATTCAGGCACATTTAAATATTCCCAGTCTGCAACCTTTGAAGGTAGGCGTGATCAGCTGATAGCTTCTAAAGCTTCCAAGGCAATTCTGTGACAGCCTTTGCCATAAAAATGTCTTATCAGGAGCATGTCAGCAACAAAATCAAGAGTTAATCTAAGCATATTGCTGCCACACCTGAAATGACATTAGCCTGAAAAACACATTTAGAGCAACAGTAATAATAGCAAGGCGCCAAGATATTCACTGCCCACAAAATCCTGCACCTGCAGCCCACATTCTGCTGCTCGCCTTCCTCACTCCTTACCTGAGCTTCTTCTGCCCGAGAAGAATCATTCCCCAGCAATGGCTCTGCTGTTGGCGCTTGAATGGTAACAGATTTCTCTGATCGGCTTCCATCTTTACTTCGTGGTGATTTGTGCCTGTCCCGACTTCTTTTTCCATTTAAAAAATAAAAAGGAGAAAATGCTTCACATGCTGATTGTTTTGTCCTTCAATGAACAGTATAAAAGCAGATATACATATTTATAATACTTATACACAGGGCTTTTTTCAGACAGAACTTGTCAGAACTCAGTTCTAGTACCTCTTGATATTATAAGAGAATGAGTTCATGGTGAGTTCCGGCACCTCTTTTTCTAGAGAAATAGCACTGCACACACACACACACACACACACACACACACGTCAATGAAATAAAACTAACTGTCATGCAAAGGCTTTTCAAGTGTTCCCAAGAAGAGAAAGGGCCACGCTGCATAGCCACCCAATTCCTCAGGAGGTTTAAGAAGATTATGAAGGAAGTGCAGCATAGCATTGCTGCGAAGTATCACCTCAGTAAGGAAGATCTGAGGAGATCTTATTTCATTAACCTTTGGTGACCTCACTGGCAACAGGTCATCCATAACCTGCTGCCTCCAACAAGCCCTTCTGAGGACATTGCATGGCAAGCCCTTCAAATATTCTGGAATCTGGTTGACAGCTCTCACTTGGGAGTCTATATACACAAACACACACACACACACCCCACAAGGGAAGCCGCAGCAGGATGAGAGTCTTGGCAGGCTCAAATTCTCCCATCTGTACAGAACTGGAATCTCGCACCAACCCACACATACGCTAACCATCACTGGCAGCCAAGTCTTAAATTTCTCTCTTGTCCAAGGTTCAAAACATATCCAAGACAGAGAACTTCTGGTCAGGCAGTAAGTTGTACTGTACTGGGACTGTCAATCTGGGGAAAGCCCAGCATTTCAATGGTATAATTTCATTTCTTTTAAAAAACTTTTCTTTACAGTTTCTTGAGCTGACAAATTTACGTATGACAAAGTAACTTTCCCCTCCCTCAGAATTGCCTGAGGCCTTTTTTGAAACAAAATAAAAAAATTCCTTCCAGTAGCATCTTAGAGACCAACTAAGTTTGTTATTGGTATGAGCTTTCGTGTGTATGCACACTTCTTCAGATACTGAAGCCTTAGTATTAGGCAGAATAGCTAATAACCTCCAAGTCCAACATTTACTTGATTGACTATGGTTTTGGCCAGTAACTTACTGAAAGAAGCTGTTGACTTAATTTATCTTCCTCACTTGGGCATCCCTGTGACTAGCAGTTAACCATGGTGGTTAGAAGAAGCAAGAAAGTGTTCCTCTCTAGCACTGAAGGAACAGATTCCAGAACACTTATTCCAGGTATATAATGATGGCCAACACAAATTCAGATCTTTGGACGGATGGTGTCTGTGTACTGCATTATTTGGTAGCTTGCATTTCAAAGGATGTGTATTTTCCTTTTAACATTTCTTCCGAGCAAGGCTCGGGGTTAGGGCGTTTTCTTGGTAGCAGGGGCACTGCATCCCTGATTGCCTCCAGGGACAGGCAGGGGGTGGGGAAGGGTGTGTGGGCATTGTGCCCCCTCAAAAAAATGTGCCGTGGGGGGGAGGGCCATGGGGGCAGGACATGCCACCAGAGTGACCCCTGCCCTGCCCAATGCTGCAAAACAGACGCAGACTCTGAAGCCAGTTTTACAGGAATCCGATTGAATTCAAACCACTTGCTGAAAACAGAGCGGTTTCTTCCTCTGCAAACTTCAAACGGACTTTAAAAGGAATCACTCAGACCAACAAGTCCCAGTTACAGCAAGCCCCTTTGGAAATACGTTTTATAGAAAATCTGGGGCAGGGAATTATGCTACGTCAGTGGTTCCTAATTAACTAATTACTGAGGACCCCCGATTTTTCAAAAGCCAAGCCACGGACACTCCCCCCCCCCCCAACTTTTTGAAAATTTTGATAACTCTATGGTAGTTACCTTGGCAGTACCGGAAGTACCGGAATGGGTTACTTCTGGGTTTTGGCAGTCGTGCATGTGCAGAAGCGCTAAATCGCACTTTGTACATGCGCAGAAGTGCCAAATTGCAACCCGCGCATGTGCAGACGCGCCACTGCAGGTTGCGGATGCTGCGGGTTGCGAACATGCATCCCGCCTGGATAACGTTCGCAACCCGAGCTTCCACTCTATATATGTCCAGCAATGTAGCAGAATATCACGATGTTTAGCTGCTGATATAGCACGATGTTGAAAACCAGATGTCGCTCATCCATAATCTGTTTGCTTATTAGGGGCTGACGAAGGAAAGCTGCTCCGCCTCAGTGCCAGGGGAAGGTAGTGCCATGGTGCCTTGAAGTGAGGGTGATCAGCTGTCCTGTTCTCCGTCAGCTCAGATCAGCAGCGTGCTGAGAACATTGTGTGACATCGGCAGTGCCTTGAAATCAGCTGCCCTGCTCTCCCTTGCATGAGAAGTGATATATTGCTGCGTATTGCCGGGTCAAAATTGTTATCGCAGTGCGATTTCAAAACCGATTTTGGCCAATATATTGAAAAATCGAACAGTGCTAAAACAGACATAAACAGTGCTAAAACAAACATAAAAATTTGATATTACCATGCAAAAAATGACAAAAAATCAGTTGGGGGGGAGGCAAGGGATGGGGCCGCAGACCCCCCTGGGTGCATTCCACAGACCCCCAGGGTCCCCGGACCCCTAACTGGGAACTGCTGGGCTACTTCAAACTTCTGCAGCAAACAGGAAGATTTATAGGCCTTATGGAAGAACGGATGCCTTTTTGGACTATTTAAACAAAGATTACAGCATGATGAACTCGTGAGCAGGATTTGAGCTAGGAGCAGCAGAAGTAATTCGATTATAATATTGTGGTTATGATCTGATTATAGAATACAGGGTGCAGCAGAAGGGGAGAAACAAAAACTCCTTGGAAAATGGGGTAGGAAGTCGACAAAAATAAGGGAAAATTGTTTAAAATGGGACGCGGGTGGCGCTGTGGGTAAAAGCCTCAGCGCCTAGGGCTTGCCGATCGTCAGGTCGGTGGTTCGAATCCCCGCGGCGGGGTGCGCTCCCGTTGCTCGGTCCCAGCGCCTGCCAACCTAGCAGTTCGAAAGCACCTCCGGGTGCAAGTAGATAAATAGGGACCGCTTACTGGCGGGAAGGTAAACGGCGTTTCCGTGTGCTGCGCTGGCTCACCAGATGCAGCTTTGTCACGCTGGCCACGTGACCCGGAAGTGTCTCCGGACAGCGCTGGCCCCCGGCCTCTTGAGTGAGATGGGCGCACAACCCTAGAGTCTGTCAAGACTGGCCTGTACGGGCAGGGGTACCTTTACCTTTAATAAGCCTCTGTTGGTTCACCTTCATCTCTTGGTGCCTTTGAATCCCCCTCACTGTGGTATTTGTCTGAGGAGACTGAGTTGGGAGCAGGGGGCAATGTTTTGCAGTGGTTCTGCTGCTACATCAAATGAAGGCCACAACCTTAAGGGGATACCTGATTCCACTAACAGTCAATCCCTCTTCCCAAGGAACTCTGGGAATTGTGTAGCTGGGGCCTTAGGTATTGCAGAAAGTGGCAAAATGATGGAAGATGGCAAAGGGAATGAGGTATCCTGACTATGTGGGTCCAGAGCATTATAATGAGAAGGCAACATCCTATCCCCTATATCACGGGTGGGGAACCTGTGGCCCTCCAGATTTTGCTGGACAATAATTCTCATTACCCGGACCATTGGCCATGCTGGCTGGTACTGATGGGTGCTGGACTCCCAAGAACATCTGAAGGGCCACAGCTATCCCCATTCCAGTCCTGTGTGGAAGCAGAGACACAATAAGCCCCAAAGAAAGCATTCAGGGCGCTCCCATAGACCGTGCTCTCTTTTTGTGGATTTGTGCTGGAGCATTCACCAAGACAAACAAGTCTCAAGCAGTAAGAAGGCAGATTCTAGACCAGATCGGCGATAAAAGTATTCATACCCTTGTCTCTGGGCCTTTTTGGAGTGACCTGAATAGTGGGAATATCCAGAGTAGGTTGACTCAGTATCCATGGTGGAAGAGAAGCCGGGGAACAGAAGACAAAGGCACCCAAGCAGGCCACTAAGTCCGAAGAAAGCGTTTTGGTGGTTGGCTCCGATTTTCGACACTCCGCCCAAAATTTGGAGAGAACCGTAATTTCAGTCTTCAGTTCTAGGGAAGCATCTTCAACATAAACCTAGGAAAGTAAATATTAATAATGAGATGGACTATTAAACACAAACAAATACTAGGTTCTCCTGCAGTGGTGCTTTTCCTGCTTTTGGGGATTAATATTCAAACACTCTGAACCTGGGGGGCCTTTAATAGTTGTGTGTTGAAAATAGGGCTGGCATACATCTGGATTTTCCCAGACAGAGCCGGGAAACGGGCTTGAAAATGCCGTCCAGGTAGAATTTCTCAGAATTTTTTCTCACGATGAGATGATGATTGTTACATCTGCTGAAGTTTCCATGCAATTTGGCCCTTAACTATCTGAACATATGAATAAAGAGGATGAAGTCACACCTAGATCTGCTGTACTCTGATCAGTATAGCACTATACCATGCAACATGCTGTTGTTCAATTTGAGGGTTCTCTTGTGCATTTTCTTAATCTTGGATTGGTGATTTTTACCTTGCACACTGGAAGGGCAGGATCTGAATTTAGGAAGTAATCACTGTGATTTTCAAAAGCTTTTGGTTTTGTTTAATGTGTTCAAAAGATGACTGAAGAGGGGGGGGGAGAGAGACGAATGAAGGAAGGTTGTGTTTTACAATGGCCCATACATAAAACCAAAAAATGAAACGACCATGTAGCAGGCAAAGAAATTGCATACAAGGTGGATAAACTTTTTTTTAAAAAAATATCACTGAGACAGTATAAAGTCAGGATACATTTAGAGTGAGGGTCACAACCAAGAGAAGGGTCTGTTATCAGAATGCTGCAGCCAGGACTCTGGAGACACTAATCAAAACACAACCCTGCTGTATCACTCAGGACCTGCTAAGACAATGCAGCAAAGCCTTTCTTATTGATCACTGGTAGAACTAAAAGTAAAATGTCAAACTAATGTAAGGTTCACTGTGGTCTATGCACGTCAACCTAAACCATCTCTGAACCAGCATTCTGTGTGAACCAGACCACAATGGTTTGGATAATCATCTCTGCTCAGTAAGCTGAGATACGAACCAACAAGACTTCTGCCCATGCAAATAGCTCTTTTGGTCCTCCCTTTGTGTCATGAACAATCAAAACAAGAAGTCTATAATTAGACATAATTACCATTTTGTCTGAAGCATGATTTGGAACAAGCCAGGCTATTATCCGAGACTCGCTATTCTGGGAGTAAGCTCAACTGAGTGAGACTTACTTTTGAGTGAACACGTCTGCACCATGCTCTAACCAACTGAGCTAAGCTGCTTATCCTATATAATTGCACTGTAAACCATGGTTTAAATTTGGTTCTATATCTTGCCTTGTTTCATGGCTGGTAACCGCAGTCCCCCGGTTCAGATTAAATGGGGAACTATAGTTCTTTAGACGCTTCCTGACTTGACAGCTCACATCGCAAAGGGAGGGGCAAAGGAGCTACATGTAAGAAGCAAAAGGCTCATTCATATCTTAGTTTATTAATCCAATATATGATTCAGTGTAGGCAATGACAGAAAGTGCTAAAATCACCTTGGTCTGCATTGGAGAGGGAAGTTGGAAGCTTAACTAAAAATCTAAAAATATAAAGTTAAGGAGTTAAATTGGTTGGGAAGCATTACAAATATTTATTAGAACAACAAATAATCTTGTGACATTTGGTGTCAATGAATATAGTGAAAACTATGAGAGGCAAAGTGGTCTGGCGGTTAAAGAGCTTGCCAGTATCTCTGAAGGCCATGGGTTCAAGTGCTGCTTATTCTCACACTGGGTGGTCACCTGCAATTCACTCAGCAAAGAAGCAGTACGTGAACTAATGTATCTTGCATCTTGATTCCTGCATTGCAGAGGGTTAGACTGGAGGACCCTTTGCCTACCTTCCAAATCTACAATTCTATGATTCTAGCTCTGAGTAAAGGACTGCACTGTTACTATAAGGTTTCATCAGATGCATTAATGTTACTTAAGATTCTAACATTGTTAATATTAGTGCTTTCATAAAGAACTTCTGGAAAAAATTGTTTGCGCTGCTTATTCCAGTCTCTATTCTATACGCAAAAGCACCCTAACCAAACCCGAGTGTGTTTTGCCACCAATTATTAACATCCATCTGCAACTTGTTTGTGTAATGCTGGACTATCCTGCAGCTGCTGCCCTCTGCTGAAAAGCAGAATTGCTTTGCACCTTCAAGAATTAAACACTGAGCACTAGAGCTGAATTGCTCTTCTCCATGAAAGCTTATGGCACAATAAATTTTCAGTTGGTCTTTGAAGTCACACAATACTTTTTCCCCCTGATTGCTTTAACAGACTAGCATATCAACCTCTCTGGAGCTGTTTCTGTTATAAGCTTTTGAATGAAATGGAACTAGGTATCTCTTCTACTACCATTTCTGTAGTCAGCTGGTAAAACGAGACAAGCTTCATCTTGATGATGCCCAATTTAGTTTATTACCTAAGTGGTCCAGACAGCAGCTGTGACGGCACCCACCTTGCGGAATGATCTCCCTTCCGAGTTCCATCAGGCACCAGCTATTTCAGCAGATTTACAGCAAGAGGCAAAACATCAACTCACCTAGGCATTTGTAAGGTTTTTCCACCTTCCTTCCCAAACCCTGGATGCTATAGCTGTATATTTTACTACTGTGCATATTTTGTGAACCACCCTGACATTACTTTTAACTAAGGGTACTGTGTAAATAAGTTACGCAAATAAATGGAAATAAAGTGTAATAATATTCTTCTTAGGCAGACGCAACTCACAACAATACATTACTAAAGGCACCCAACAGCACAAGCTCAGAGGTTTTTGAAGGATATTCCCTTCATAAAATTGAGCATAACTGATTTCTTCCTTAAGGCTTTACAGTCTTTTCCAGCTAAACAGTCTCAACTGAGACTATTAAATTGGCACACAGGGCTACCTTATAGATGCAGTATTTTCGAACTTGCCTCAAACAGCTTGTTTTTACTTAACACCAGAGTTTTACGGGGCAACACACTTTCCATTCATCAAGGGAATATTTTCTCTACTGTAGGAAAGACCTGTTGAATCACTGGTTGCATGCAACCTAATTCTATGCATAATATCTAAGCAGATTCTGAGACACACTGGTGTATAACCCAGAACCCACATTGTAGCTAAGTATTTGTGCAGTGGATTGATTTCTTACATTGTCTTTTCATGCTGATACTTTCCTACATTTCCTACATGGAACTCACTCATACAATCAAACAACGGCTTTAGAAAGTACCTAGCATTACTGCAAGAAATCTTGCAATCCCAAATCCTAACCAGCACTAGACGTCTGCCCAAGTTTCCAAGCAACCTCCAGGATAGGGTGTTGCTCAAGGCTTTTACCTGGAATTAGCCTATTTTGGTTAATGACCCCCTAAAATACCATTCACTTTGCAGTAACTATGCCTGTAAAGGAAGGAATGTGGGAGGAACCAGCCTTCAACAATTCCCCTCGCCAGGCTCACTATGGCAACTTGCGGTGGCAGAGCTGGGTGGAGATCATCTCGGCAACTACACAGTTGTCCCTGCTGAAAGCGGGGAGGAATCTTCCCGTCCAAAGCTCCGAGGGCAGGAAGTGGTTGCCAGCAACCTGGCCAAGGTGGCACGAAGGGTCAAACTGGAGACCTCCCATGCCAGCAGCATCCAGTGAGTCATTCTCCCTGTCCTTCCCAGCTTCCAAAGTTGGGAAGACGGCTGGAAGTTGTTTGGCAGCTGCATGGCAAAGGCAGCTGGATAGCCTTGGCCATGCCGACCAAACTGTTGCCTGCCCACCCCTGCCACCTTTCCAGCTTGAAAGCAGAAACAGCAGATGGATGCTGCTCCCTGAAAGCGCTCTCACTTTCCAGGAGAGGGTCCCAACTGTCCCAGGAAGGGTGGACAAGGGTGGGTGGGTGTTGCACACTGCAGCTTGAAGGCAGTTAGGGCACGTTAAAGCAGCGACGCTCAGCCCTGCACGCTTCCTGCTGGCCTTGCAAAAGGCCCCTGGGGCTGGGGGTCCACTGCCAGGAGGTGCCCAAGGCAATTTCAAGCAACAGTGCCCCAACCAGAAGGCACTCATCGCTGCCCTTCTCCCTACAGATCCCTGCAGATCAGGGTGCCTCAGCTAATGCTGCTTGCACCCTCAGAGTTGGCAAGGATGCGTCCAAGCTAGCAGACCAAGTAGCCCAGTGGGTTCTCCTCTGCAAAGCGGGTGACAAGCAACCCCAATTCAGAAGCTGCGGTTCCCGGCCGCCCCGGTTTGGAACAGGGCCCCCCACCCGCCCCGGGCTCCACGGGAAGCGGCAGTCAGGCCTGTTCCTCCCGCGAAAGGGAGAGGCTGCCGCCCAGACCGGCACTTTCCCTCCCGGCTGCCAGAAAGTCCAGTCGGGATGCGGGCGGCGGCGGGGGGAGCTGGGCTGCCGCGCTCCCTTCTCAGCCAGCGGCGCAACGGGAGAGGCAGAGCGAAGAGCGTCTCCCACCAAAAGCCCCGCGGCTCCCGGGCGCGCAGAGGGCGAAAGAAGCGCCGCGTCTCCGGGGCTCTGCGAGGAGGATCGCGCCCGGCTGGCGGACGGGTCCCTGCCCGGGGCGAAGGAGTGGGAGAAGCCGCGCCCTGGAGAGGGAGAAGGAGGAGGAGGAAGAAGGCGACTGACCTCTCGCCCGCCCGCCGCCGCCGCGCCATCCTGCAGCTCCCGGTGGACGGAGCGCGCAACGCGCCAGCCTCCCAGCCCGCCCGCCCGCCCGCCGCCTCCTGCCGCCTCCTGCTCCGGCTCAGCTCCAGCTCCGACTCGGCGGCTGCAGCGGCGCTTTCCGCTTCCTGTGCCCGGACAGCGGCGGCAGCGCCCCGCCCGCCGCCGAGAGTAGCCCTGCCTGCCTCGGCCTGCTGGGAGCGAAGGCGAGCCTGGCCTGGACGCGCCTTTCCCTCGCAAGGAGAGCTCGCCGCGCAGGACTGCCAGGGCCGCTTCCCGGCGGAGAGACAGGCGGCGGGGGGCGGGGAGTTGCCGGCCTCTCGGCGGGGAGAAAGAGGTGTAGCCCGACCGTGTGCATGCTTATTCCCGGCCAGCCAGCCCCGCTCCGCTGTGCGCACGCTCTCCAAAAGTCGGGACTAGCAGGAGCAAAAAGAAGGCTGCCCTTGACTAGTCTTCCTTTGCAAGCCTCTTCGGCGGCGCGCCTGGGCGCGGGCTGCCCTGCCAAAGTCCCAGGTCCGGGGCTTCTGAGGGATGCCCCCCTTCCCTCCAGATCCGGAATCCCCTGCTCTGGAGCTTGTGCCGAGGAGGCATCACTAAGCTCCAACCAAGGAAGGAGTTCGAGGGTTTCCTGCAAACTATCTTGAAGCTTGTCACCAAAAAAAGTTGCAAATACAAATCAATACGCCGCTGTTAAGCAACCAGCAATGCAGCCCAGTTTTATTTAGGGTTCTTACTTATTCTCTCTGGCCTCAGAGAGAGGTTCAGATAAGCAACTCGCTTCTTCAATATGCTGGCAGCCTCAGAGAGAGATCCGAACTCCCAGGGATGAGGCTTCAGTTTACATAATATTGAAAAAAAGACTCCAGCCTCTTTTCACAACTTCTTGCATACGCCTTTTGCACTTGCTACAGTTCTCTACAAATGTAAACTATTAAGTTTCATACACGAGGCACACAAACATAGCTTTTTATGCACATTAAACATAACTTTTACAAGAATTACAGCTGCAAACTGCCGAGTACACAATTACAGACCACATCACTTCCCTGCCAGGATGGACCAAAGGCAATGATAAGAAATAAACATCCTCTAGATTTTCCGATGGTGTTTCCAAAAACCTTCACTACCCTCAACTCAAAGGTCCAGCCCCATTGGCACAAGAATCTCAGATCCATGGCCTCCTAGTATTGCATAGAACAAATAGATACAGGAACGGCAGGAGTCCAAAAAGCACTGGGTGGACAGGGGTGTGTGGACATGGATGTGATCCATGACATGGCAGTGGTTATCAGGGAATTCTATATAAAAACTATTATTGTATTGGTCTGAATATAAGCCTCACTTTTTTTTCCAAATTTTGACCGTGAAAAGTTTTGTGACCCTACAAAAATTGGGTTTTATGATACCACTGCTGAACCAGACATACAGTAAAACGGAAAGGGTGTGAGTGCCCGCAGAATTTTAAGGGAGCGGCTTATATTTGGGTATTCTCTCTTCCCCCCCCCCCCTCGAATTTTAAAGGTGCAGCTTATATTTGGGTGTGGCTTATATTTGGACCAAAATGTGGTAAGATTCATGTTTCTGCGCCAGGAAGCAGAGGGCTGAAATATTTTTCAGCCTGTATTTCCTAACATCAAACAGGAAAACTATATTCTCTCTATCGTATATCTTAAGTCTGTTTTTGATTCAAAAGAGATTAACTCTAGGGACAGCTTTTTTAAAAACAAACAAACAGATTATACATGTAATCCCAAGGTAAATCTTACCAACTCCATTCTAATAAAGGCAAGGGTAAGACAAGGATGTGTTCTTTATTTGAAGGACACCATATGTCTCTCCCCAAATCATATGTTTGAGATTAGCTGGTAGCAGAAATCCCTTTGTTTACGATATGCCAACGACACTATTACTTTCACTACTACAACATGACTGAATGGTTAACAATCAACTATGATACAACTTCATAAAGTTAGATAAGAAATAAAAATAGACCCTGGATGGATGGGCATGCAATATAACTAGCCAAGTAGTAACTTTACATATCTGGAAGTTGTTACCTTGGTCCTTGTCAGATTCAAAATGCAACATCAGATACACTGAATATTCAAGCTGCCCTACAGAGGTTCTAGTATACAAAAAGCAAGCATATACTTTTCGTTTTGAATGTGTACAATGCCTGCAGTATTCATAATGCCTTGAGAATCACCTGGGCCATGGAGACAGGAGACACCAAAGGCAGGCATTTCGAGAAAAGCCTCCAAAACTTGTTGTTTGGGGATGTGAAGTGTTCTCCCAATGGAACCCTGACTGTGTGCATGACTTGCTGAAACATCTGCTCACAGTCTATCTAATGTTGAGTAAGTGTTGAGAATGTCCTGGTCGCATTCTGCTGTTATTTACTGCCCAAAGAAAACTCACCTCTTTGTACAGTGCGTGCACCAGCTGTCAGGGCTAGAACAAGACATTTTGGTACCTGAGATGAGCCACAGATTGGCACCCCACTTTGCCACCGGTTTAGTGAGATGGAGGTGATGGTGTGGGCAAAATTTTGCTTTATCTGGAAAAAGTACAAAGTCTGACTTCTAAATACAACTCTAATACACACCACTTTGTAGCCCTCATGCAATGAAGCACACAAAAATCAAGTTGTAGTGTTTTGTGCCTTCTGGAACTCTCAAGAGGTTACCTGTTTTTAGCATTCCAGTTCTGATACCAAGGATCGTTGTGTGAGCTCTGTGTTGCCCCCTACATGGTAACACACTCAGATATTGGCTTCCCCATGAAGCTTACATGGTCACCTTGAGCCAATTACAACCTCTCAGCCAAACCTTCCTTACAGGTGTGTTGTGAGGGGAAAACGTGTGAGGAAAGGGATTAGGTACAACTCCTTTATCTCCAACAGATAAATGGAATGAAATAAAGTTTAAAATAGATATTATTGGGAGAAACATTATTGTCTTACAATATACAGTTCGAAACAAGCTTTCCTCCCTTACTATGCAAAAAGGCCACCTCTGTATTGCATGGGGACTTGCAGTGTGCACACATCAACATGTGTTCATGTTGACAGAGAGAAGATGCATTCAATATCCAGTCTGGATATGAATTTTACAGATACCCTGGGATGGCAGCTAAGTCTTCAAATCTATGCACACTCACCTGTAAGCCCAACTGAACATAGTAAGACACTTCTGAGTAAGCATGTATAGGTTTATGTCTTGAATCCTAAAGACTAGCTGACGTGAAGCAACTAAACAGAGCAACCACAGAAAGGAAAAAATTAACACCAAGCAACCAGAAACATTTTTTAAAAATGAAATCAAAATGTCTGTGCTCCGCCGTGACAGAAAAAAAGGCATACATTTACTGTATTGAGCTTTCATGTGCATTATCTCAGAAATCCTTACAGCAATCTAGCATAGGTCAGTGCAATATTTATTATTGGTGGAACAGAGGAGGAAAATGATTCAGGGGTGTTACCAAAGAAAAGAACCAACTGAGCTTTTTATTTCTCTTCCAGTGTTGCCAATTGTAATTATGCCTCAGCAATTCAAAATATGGCAACACACAACAGACAAGTTTATACATGAGGGGAAGAGGGCACGGCAGGGAGCTGGAACTGTATATGGGAGTGTTTGTGGGGGCAGATTCTGAATCCCACATCTCTGAACCTAGTAGAATGCTTTTTCAATTTAAAAACTTGATGGCGCTAATCCACCAGCTGAAGGGGAAACCATGTGTGAAAACAGAACTTTCAGAACCAGTCTATAGAGCAGGTCTTTTCTTACTAACTGTGCTTGCTAAGACACAACCCCTTCCTATGTGCTACAGTGACCATATGGAAATCAGAAGTTTTTAAAGCTAGTCCTGCTGGTCTCTCCTCTCCCACCCCACCCCACCGATTCCACCTGTCTTTGCATGGCCGGATTGGAGCAGTTGGGAACAGAACAGCTGAAATATTTTAATGTAAATGGTATTCCCACATGGAGGGAACTTTTCCTTGTCAATCTACCCAATCTCAAATGATTGTGGCATCACCTTAATCAGCTGTTAGGATTCCTTTTAAAACCAGATATCTCTGCCCAGGCATGCAGGAATCTGACAATTTTAGAAGACATTTTTGTTAACTTTTCAATTGTTTGAGGAGATAGTGTCTTCAATGTATAGAGCGCTAATAGCCCCTGAATATGGCAATCTTTTAAGTGCAATAATGCCCTGAGAAATGGACCTGAAATGGACTTGTTGGAAATATAAAGAAAAAGAGAGCACCTTTTATCATATGTGGTGGAGTTGTAAAAAGATAAAAGCATACTGGGAAATTAGCTATAAAAAATGTTTAAAATAACACTTGTTAAAAAACCAGCAGCTTTTTTATTAGGAATTTTAGGTGCAGAGATTCCAAGGGAGCAGAAAAGATTTTTCATGTATGCTACGACTGTAGGCTAGATGCTCTGAGCCTGGAACTGGAAGGACGAGAAGATTTCTACAAAAGAAGAGTGGATAACAAGAATGTTGGACTATGCTGAAATGGAGAAAATGACTGAAAAAATCAGAAACCGGAATGATAAAAACTTTAATAAAGATTGGGAAATTTATTTGAAAGAACACGGCAAACAGTTAAAAACATGCAGGACTACAATAACACATTCAATGTAAAAAAGGCTATGGCTAAGACTTGAGTTTTATAGATAAATGGAGGATGGTATGAGATGCAGAAGAAAATTTTTGTTAGTGGCCATGGAGGGGAGGAAGGAAGTCAGAGAATTATGTATTTTATTATTGTACCTTATGTTTTAATGTAAAATTAAAAATGTAAAACTAATAAAAAAGTATAAAAAATAAACATTATTATGATAGAAGTCTGTACAAATAACAGGACAAATTTTAGTTGTTTGTTGTTGGACAATTTGTTGTTTTATTGGTGCTACTGTAATTTAGAAAATAAATAAAAACATTAATGATTTTTCAATTAATGGGGTTTATTTAAAAGTTACATAAAAGATTGCAACAACATAAAATCTGTGGCAGCCTTTGAATAGCTTCTGTTATACATCGAACAGGTTTAAGAAAGTACAGTATCTTGGCTAAGCAATTACAGTGGTACCTCCGGTTACATACGCTTCAGGTTACATATGCTTCAGGTTACACACTCCACTAAGCCAGAAATAGTGCTTCAGGTTAAGAACTTTGCTTCAGGATAAGAACAGAAATCGTGCTCTGACGGCGTGGCGGCAGCAGGAGGCCCCATTAGCTAAAGTGGTGCTTCAGGTTAAGAACAGTTTCAGGTTAAGAACGGACCTCCGGAACGAATTACTTAACCCGAGGTACCACTGTAGTTAAAATAGACACAGTGCGCTAGATAAAGATACATTTAAAGCTAGATGGAGTTGGCGGGAAGTCAATAGAACTAGAAGACGACTGTGATGAAGTGTGATTGATATTGACAATTCTTTGATGTTTATTTGTTCTGGATAATTTTGATTTTGTGGTGTTTTTCTTAAGTTCAATAAAGTGATTTAAAAGCAAAAAGAAAAACAAAAGAAAAAATGCTAATATGTTTTAAAGAAACAGATACTCTGTGAGTATAGAGATGCTCTCGTCCCTTTTTATGGGGTGGCTGTTGTCCGCTTCTCTTGGTGAAGGACTATGGTAGGAGCCTCAGGCTGGAGGCATCTTGTCAAGCTTCACCCACAGTGAATAGCAAGAAACATCCATGACTGAAAAAGCAGGGAAGTGGAGGATGAATGTGCAACAGCCACACAGAGAATAGTCTGGCTCCAGATCTGATCCATTTGTGGAGTAAGCCCCTGCCTCCATTCTGAAGGGCTGGACGCCACCAGCTTATATACCCGGGGTGCCACTTCTGAAGGGTCGATGAAGTGGTAGAGCACTTGTGGATCTGAAGAGAGACAAGATGGAGGAAAAATCCACACACCAGGGCTGCCCTGTGCAGTTTCTCACCTTTGAACGAGGAAATATGGTTTTATGGTCTCCCTTTTTATCATTGGCCTCTTGCCATGCTGCTTGTAGGCCCTTTTGAGAACAGGCTGCCACTCTAGCAGGGTTCCTTGGGCCTGATCCAGTTGCTGAAGGCTCATCTAGTGCTGTCCTCCAATTGTCCTCCTGAGTGATGCCTATGAGCTGGGGAGAGGGACCGTTTCCCTCTGCTCATGAACCACCCACAATGCGGCACGGCCTGCACAACGGTCTGGAGGATCTCCAGCTGAGAAGCAGAAGCAGCCTTAGTTGGGATCTTTAGAAACTCTCCAAGGTTGGGGAAGTGGTAGAAGAGGACAGTTGAGATGTGCAGGAACCACAGGTGAGAAGCCTCCATCATAAACAGCTGTGCACAAAGAAGGCAGAAAGGGGAGGAACGTCAGACAGAGGCCAAATCCCACCAGGGTTTGGAAACAACACAGCTAAAATAGGTTCCCCCTGCCTTTTTTTAAAAAAGTTGGGTTCTGCCTTTCAAAGAGAGATGGATCCCGCTCTCTTCCTGGACTGGGAGCGATGCCCAAAGAGGCACCCTTGCTGTGACTTTAAGGAGCTGCCTTGTCCAGTCAGATCATTGGTCCACCTCCATGCTGACTGGCAGGTGGCTCTCCAAGGCCTCAGGCAGGAGTCTTTCCTTCCCAGCCCTACCTAGAGATGTCATAGGGGATTGAATTTCTGCATGCAGAGCATGTGCTCCACAAAGAGTTATGACCCAGAGCTATGGGGGTGAGGGGGGCAAGCCAGGTTTTTTGCCCTGGGTGAAGTCTCGAGAGCGGCACCATTAAGTCACCACAATTTTTTAAACAGACAAAGGTCACAGCCAGTTACTTCTCTTTCCACAGTGACACAATTTTTCATTTTGAGTGCAGAACTGACCCCAGGGTGAAATAAACCAGAACATTCCTTGGGAGCATGGGATTTATGAAGGCCAAATAACCAAGGAGCATCTTTAAAAACTGCCCATGGGGTGGGGGGAGAACAAGGCTTCAGAATGCCTCCCCCCTTACCTTCTGTGGCACCAGGGGAGGCAGAAGATCATTCTCTGGGCTTTCAACCAAGCCAAAGACCAATGTTTCCGATGCCAACTGATCCAAAAAAAGACAATTCTCTGAAGGAGACAGATGTCTGTGGTGTCAACTGATCTGAAGAAGACAGTTGACTGAGTTTTTAACTGATCTCAGGATCCTTTCAAACAACTCACCTGGTTTCCTGGGAAGCAAAACATTCCACAGCCCATTGTGAAGTCAGATCTTGGCGAAGGCCTCACCCAATGGACTTTGGTCTCTCTGTCTGTCTCCATCTCTGGCCCATGTCAACACTTGGTATCTTCATCTGGCTTCCAAGCACCTGCCCTGCCCCTTAATTTACCCCTCACTGGAGGGCCAGGGCATCGGGATCTGGGCTTCCCTGATAATTTCCCCTGAACACTCCCTGCCTCACATCCCTATGGGAATCGAAGGGAGTAAGGTGGGCCGTGACTGTGATCCAGTTTCCAACACCTCATGAAAACTCACCTGCCCAAGGTGTTGGCTGGCCAGCTGTTCCTCATTTTGTCATCATGTCACTGGTCAACAACAAATTTGTTGTCTGCGTTTTTTCAGTTGATTTAGGACGAATCTGATGCGCTGAATCCAAAAATCACATTGGTTTAGCTCAATCAGGTCAAGTTTTTGAGTTATGGCCACATGTCTTTTTTTACATTTTTGTTCACATGTACACTTGTGTGGAGCATTTTAGAAGAAGTTGGTGGGGGTAAAATGCCATGTTGAATAATTGTTTTGATTGGAAATGATTATTTTAATGACAAGAAGTATTCAGGTCCGATAGTTCTGGGTGATTATGTCGAAAAGGGATCAGTTTGAAGTCATAAAACCTCAAAATCTTCCATAAATTTGTGCTGCAAAGCATAAAGTTGTGGGGTCAAAACTAAGTTAATGGGGTAGCCGCCTCACGAAGTGTATAGGAAAGATTGGAGACTGTTCATTGACAGCAGCAAGCGATCACTGAAATGTGTTCTGCTACACAACGGCAACCAGTTTGCCTCTATATCCCTGGCTCACTCGACTACACTGAAGGAGAACTATGAAGCGGTGAAGTAGGTGCTGGAGAAAATTGGTTATGATCAGCATAAGTGGTTTATTTGTGTTGACCTGAAGATGGTGAACTTTTTGTTGGGACAACAGTCTGGTTTCACCAAGTACCCATGTTTTCTGTGCATGTGGGATAGTAGGGACCGTGCTCAGCATTACACGAAGGAGGACTGGCCTGAGCGGGAGGAATTAGTGCCTTGCAGAAAAAGGAACGTCATCAACGACCCTCTGGTGGACAGAGACAGAATACTCTTCCCACCGCTGCACATCAAGCTCAGCTTAATCAAGCAGTTCACCAAGGCTCTGGACAAGGATGGTGACTGCTTCACTTACTTGTGCCAGGCTTTTCCAGGATTGACCATGGAGAAGTTGAAAGCTGGCATCTTTGACGGTCCTCAGATCCGTCAGCTCATCAGAGATCGGAAACTCAATGAACGAAGTGGAACTGGAAGCGTGGAAGGCATTTGTTCTGGTAGTGAAGAACTTTCTTGGCAACAATAAGGCCAGAAACTACACAGAACTTGTCAACAACATGCTGACTGCTTTCAGAAACCTGGGCTGCAACATGAGCGTCAAGATGCACTACCTATTTTCACATATGGACCAGTTTCCTGAGAACCTGGGTTCAATGATTGACGAGCAGGGGGAGAGATTCCATCAGGACATGAAAGAGATGGAGACCAGGTATCAGGGTTGCTGGGACGCAGTCATGATGGCTGACTACTGTTGGACTCTGAAGAGAGACCTCCCTGCTGCTGAGCATTCCAGGAGTTCCAAGAAACGGAATTTCAAGCCCTGAAGTTTAAAAAATGGTGAAGCAACATGCAATTTACGTGTACTTACCTTTATCAATGCCCACCATTCAGTTTACAGTAAACCTGACCTGATGGAGAGAAATGGATGCCATTTCCTGATTCAGCAGTGCAAAAATACCCTAAATCAGTTGTAGAAATCTAGACAACATTCAAAAAGTAAAAAATTGTTGCCCAGTGTATCGGTTCCAGTGATTTTAAAGTTCTTGCCTTTTCATTTTGGGGTGGGGGCTACACCTCTCTCCACCTGGCTAACTCAACACCTCTAGGCAGCTTTCAAAAAACACATTTGTACTCTCAGGGGGTCTTCCTTGGTTCTTTATTTTCACTTGAAAACCCCTCCTTTCCTTTAAGGAACTCAAGGTGGTATACATCGTGTGCTTTCCCTATCCAAATTATCCTTGGCTGCCTCCAATACTGGAAGTAGAATGAGGCTATGGTGGCTTTGAAGGATGCCCTCCACACCCTGGGGTGGGGAATGAGAGCTGGGGGGTTCACCCTGAGGGAACCCCAACCCCACTATTCAAAACGGTATCACAGAACTTTAAATGTGTAACGTAGATACAGCCAAACAGTACAAAAGTTAGACAAGCAGAAGCAGAAGTTACCTCAGACCAACTTATGATGCTGAATCCTCCTTGAAAAGGAAATATTGCCCCTCGTTTAACCAATATTAAACTGAAACGTTAAAAAAAGAAATAAATCTGGGAAAAGGGATCTAAAACAAAAAAATGGATAAAAGGAACTTAAATTATCAATCTCCCTGGCATGACGCAGAACTCTCTTTCAGACAAATTATCCTCTAGTCAATTACCAGAGATAGAAAAGGCTTCACAGTTGTATAGTTGCACTGGGACTACCATCATATTTTTTTAGGCAGCAGGCAAAAAGTTTTCTTCTATAACCAGGCCTTAAGCCTGCCCCCCTCTCTGCCCCCTGCCTGCCCCCCAACACACATACACAGATTCGAAGCGGAAGACATTGCCCGCTCTCCCTCTTTCTAGCAGTGCCCTGCCTGCATTTCCAAGAAAAGGGCTGAAGGAAATGGTGCCATGTTTCTGGGTCCACCAACAGGCACCAAGAATGAGGAATTTTTTTAAATAAAAGGGGCTTTATTCTCCCAAGTGAGCCTCATCTGGTGCCTTCATTATACTGCCTATAGATACCAAGGAAAAACGTTCCTTGTGAACTGAGGCCTTGAATGTGTTTGTGGGAGAGGGGGGTGGTTATTGATTCCCCCCCTTGTTTTTATTCTGTATTTTTTTTGTTTTGTATTTTTATGTCCTGAAATTTTTGGATGAGGGGCAACCAATCAATCAATTTTCAGAGGAGCCTCTAAGACCCTTCACATGAACTGAAAACAGCCCCAAGGAACTGGGAAGACTTGGGAGACACGTACAAGAAATGGAGGGGTGAAGAAAGCAGCAATCTGGCAAACCCTGAAGGCCAGCAGCCCCATCCCCTTTGCTCCCATCCCCAATTTCATGAGAGAAACTGGGAGGCCTGAAAGATGGAGTGTGGCCAGGGGCAGGACTATTTGCAGGTGTGCACAATTGCAGAGCAGCTACAGTCTTGCATCCTACGGAAACTCCATGCACCCCAACTGCCATGATGTACGGGCCTCGCCAGGATGCGCCCCAACTGCCATGATGTACAGGCCTCGCCCAGCTGCAGCCAACCCACCGGGAAACCCATCCTGTCGAGCGCAATCCGGCCTTGGGCAGCAGGGCCCATGGCATCCCCTATGGTGGGCAAAAGCCAAACTCAGAATGTCAGAATGACGAAACCTCTGGAGCGACTGAGGCACTTTCAAATATGTAGTGTGATTTGTTGGCTGAGATCATTTACTTCATGTTCTTCCAAGTAGTAGAACCTATTTCACTTAGAGATTAGACAACTGAACTATTTAGGCAATTCAGTCATATTTTACAAAAGTGGTTTATTTTAAAAACACAGCTGTTCTCAAATGTTTTGAAAAAATAACGTTTTTTAAAAAAGTACTTCACTGGAAGATGGAAGCCCAAGTCACACTGCTATAGTGCTGCTCTTGTCTGCTGTGTGGCTCCAACTGTACTCAGTGGCAACAAGTCTTATCCAAGCCCAAATACTCAAGCCAGTTTTAGGAGGCTTGTTTGTGGTGAAGTGCAAAAGTACAGCTTCTGTTCTAAAAACTTGGATGCATGATGGAACTCTGTCTAAATTTCTGGTGCACATCACTGATATATAGAGAGAGATTTCTAAACATGCTTCTTGTGTGCCTGCTTAAATAAACAATGATAAAGAAAGTCAACATGAATCTTGACTGGCTGCAGAAAGAGCAGGAAGCAGCACTGTGAACTGTGAGTGGTTATTTCTAATTGATTTTTTAACACCTTTATGGTTGCAGCGATGATGCTGATGTTGTGGATGCTTGTGAAGATGATGCCTTGTTTCTAGGAAAGTAGTATCTAAAGAAAATAGTTAAGGAGTTCTCAGCAAATACCTACAACTATTATTACCTTAGTCAGGAAGTAAAATATTTACAGCTCGTGCTGGAGCTGCTTATAGATGATTGCAGATTTTAATGTGATCTGTGTACACTTACAGTGGTACCTTGGTTCTCAAACTTAATCCTTTCCAGAAATCCGTTCCAAAACCAAAGCGTTCCAAAACCAAGGCATGCTTTCCCAAAGAAAGATTACTCTGTTCTAGAGTTTTAAAAATAACCCCTAAAACTCAATTTAACATGAATTTTACTATCTAACAAGACCATTGATCCATAAAATGAAAGCAATAAACAATGTACTGCAGTCACACAATCAATCAATCAATCAATCAATCAGCCAGCCAGCAGCTGAACTGGGTTCCACACAGGCACAAAAACTAAAAAGAGCCGCAAAAACAAAAACGCAAAATAAATAGCAAAACCAGACAGACCTCCGTATAACACTCAAAATGGAAATGTGGCACTCAAATCAGAAGTGTGGCACTCAAATTGGAAGTGTAACACTCAAAACGGCGCACGTTTAGCTTCCAAAAAAAAGTTCGCAAACCAGAACACTTCCTTCTGAGTTTGCAGTGCTTGAGAACCAAGGCACCACTGTACTTGGGAATAAACACCACTCAAAATGATAGTACTGTACTCATATCTGAGTAAATATGTGTAGGATTAAGCTGCAATAACATTTCCCTCAAAGACATAAAAATGTAATGCTGTAGTCTTTCAGAATTGCAGGACAAACTGCAACTTATCTGCCTTCTGTATTAAGAAACCTGTGAAAGGAGGTTGGGGAGAGAGCAGAGATTTTCTGTTCCACCACTACCTCGTGGCCTCACTAAAAACCAATGCATGACCTCCAAAATTGTTGGGAAAGTGGCAAGGCCTGTTACTCATCAAGCAGTGCTAGTCTGGAGCTTTAACATTTGGAAGGTCCCAATTTGCTATGTAAAACAGATGCAATTAATTTCCAACCTCTACAATCTGGCTTTTACAGATATGGCAGACTGAGAACTGCAAGATGTGCACTTCAGAAGGATACACAAATGTGGGGATGCCTTTTGTTGTCAAGTACTTCCGGATAAGACGCTCTGTCCCATACCAATTAAAACCTTTGGTTGAGTATCCAATGCGGGGCAGGTGGACACTTGCTGAGAGAAAGAAACGAAAAATGCTGTCTGAGTTGTAGCTCACATGAAAACAAAGGATATGTAACTAGGTAGTTAATATTGCAAAGGAAATTCTTGTCATGGGACTAAAAAAGGTTAAGGATAGGTACCTGGAAGCCAGGGGTGCAACCTGGCCCCAAATATTAGCCACAAATCCCAAGGACCTTCTCACACCTGTTCCAGAGGCAAAGAGTTATTTAACCCCCTTTGATCCTGTGTGAAGAACAGCAGAGTCTTTGGCACAGTTTGTTTTCTTTATACTCCACCTATCTCTCAGCACAGGACCCAAGGCAGCTTACTGAATATTTTTTTAAAAAATGCAACTAAAATCACACCATCCAAATAAATATTTAAACATAATTACATAAGTAACCCTATTAAAGACAGCACTGAGAACACATAGGCACATGGGGGAAAGATATGCAAAGGGAATAAACTAGGAGTGTTTGGGGCACCATAACCTCTTTAGTGAGAGGTTAAATTATCAGAAAGGTTTAGTTGTTTTGGTTTCTGGTGGTGATAGCGAGAATTCCAAGCTTTTATCAGCAGCGAGGGAACTAAGACTGCCCCAAGCTGCAGGTGCACTGCAGAAAACATGGGAAGCTTTCGATTCTAAACGGTTGATATTATTCACCACAGCTGGGGTTTCTGTTGACATGGAGTTCTCAAAGAGAATAACTCCATAATGGCAGGAATTCTAGAGGATCAGAATGTCCCAGCCATCCCTTTCAACTTGTTTAAACGGGACTTCAGGCACTAACCTTCTCAACAACTGGCACACTTGCTGTCACAGGCACACTTACCATCTCTATCCTTGGCCGCAAGATAAATTTTCTTTAATCCCCTTTCCAAAGCAGGGAGATTAATTCCAGACAAGTTGTTTGAACGGTCTCGGTGCTGTGCTACAATAAGGGCCAGCTAGGAAGAAATCATATATGCTGTGATCAGATAAACAGAAAATTAAGTGCATGGCTTATAGGCAAGAAACACTCCCACTCTTTCCCCCTCCTTTTTTTTTTTTTGCAAATACACTTATACTTCTGGGATAAGTATGGAACAATTCTGATACTCTAGCTTTTATGCTAGGAACAAGATTTGGAATGACTAAAACGAAAGAAATGCAAACCATCTGTTTGTATAGTTACCAAGTCATGTCCTTTGTTTCTGGATTCCTTATCATCGATGGGGAATAAAAGAGTTCCTCCCAATGTCAAGTCTACAAAAATAATTAAGAACAACGGAAAAAACACTGAATTCTGTGGAACACTGAGGGGAAAATGCACTCAGGGTGAATTTCTGAAAGTCAGATTGGCTGTATTGCTCTCTCTTTCATGTACTTAACATAATGCTGATTTTTCATAGATGGTGAACAGAGTAGACAAAACAGAATTAATTAATTAATTAATTAATTAGCAGCGTATGATATTTTCTAGTTCCTTAACTGGGCTTTCCTGTCTGCTGTGTAGATTAATCCAGATTGTTTCCATCAAGTTGCCAGGAGCAAGCAATAGAGAAGGAAATTTCTAAATTATGACTGCAACAGTTGTATGTTCAATTAGTCAGCTGGCAATGCTTTCAATGCCAGCATTCATTGGATTATAGGTTACCAACTGTTTACAGGTGTGCTGAGATGTCACACTGCAGGGATGTGGGGATATGAATAACGGGATTAACCGGTATCTCATCCAGGTATTATGTAGCATTTCACCCACATTATCTCAGTATTCTTTAATCTTGTAAAGTAGGTCAGTATTATTATTCCAAATTTGGGGAGCCAAGTATGAGAAAAAGAGAAAGATTTCTTTAAGGCCACATGGTGAGCTTATGGCTAAAATGAGATCTGAGCGAAGAATCCAGTTTATACTCTTAGCTGATTTAGGGACATTTATTTATTTATCTATTAATTCATTCATTCCCTGCCTTTTCCCTGATAGGGACTTAAGGCAGCTTACAGATAAAATAAGAACAGCTAAAACACGGGGAAACCCCACAACCATTAAAAAACAAACATTAATAGACATTAAACATTAATAGAATATATGATCTATGAAAAACATACAATCATAGCAAAAAAAGCATGGCACCAGCCCCATCAATAAACTGACTATTTTGGGAGTAGTCAGCTCCCAAATTCCTGTTGGAACAAGAAGGTATTCACCTGCCGGCAAAAGGACAACAAGGAGGGAACCAGTCTAACTACTCTAGGGAAGGAATACCAAAGTCTGGAAGCAGCCACTAAAAAGGTCCAATCTATGTAGCATAACGGATAAATTTACGCACCAAAGTGCATTCACTTGTAAGTTTACTTACACCTGGCAAGTAAGAGAGTGGAAGTGAACACATGAAGCAACTGTCATCCAATTAATCTTAGCACAGGCTTCTCTTACAGCTTTACTCTGCCCTAGAAGGGATGGTAGCTCTTTCCTCACAGACAATAATGAACAAGAAAGTAAAAGGAACAATTTCCTGTTCATTCCAAACAGTTTAATCTAAGGCAGAGAAAATCAGAATATAGACTTTCCAAATGAGGCGTTTTAAATGCTTACACTATAAATGAGATCATTTGATTAAAAATAACAGTTTAAAAAGGAGGAATCTCCTAAAACTACAGTAGCTTTTACCTATCTCTTGCTTACCTTTCATCTTTCCTGCCAGCTCATATATTTTCCTTGGCTGGTCAGAGCGATTCCCCAGAGCTGTGAACAAGCCTCCTCTTCCCCAACGGCCCGAGTCATCTGAAGCAAAGAGTTAGATGATACTATTTTAAAGGGAGGGAAAAGGTCCATGAGACAGAAGTTCATATAGATCAGCTTCCAATGGTTCATCTGAGAGCACTTCCAAGCTACAAATCTGGCCTTCTAAGGCAAGTGCAAGACCTTCTGATATTAATCTGCTATTAGAGATTGCCTTGGCAAATGTAAATGCATTAATCCTGTATGGCTTAGTGACGGTAAAGAGTTTTGGATCTGTAGCTGCATTATAGACCTCTTCATTGGGTGCTTTAATGTGGAAGAGTGATCCAAACCCTAATGGAAGAATGGCGCCACTCCCCCAGACAAGTTCTGATCAACAGCAATAAAATATCTCCTGTAATGTACTTGCTACCCACTAGCAGATTTTTAGCAACTCTGACTTCAGCCACTCAGGCCATAAGTGACCAGCAGTTGCTTAAAGACGTGTGCTATGCATTTAGACCATGGATAAAGAACCAGTATCCCTCCAGATGTTGTTGGATCCACCTCCCATCAGCCAAAAAAGGGTGGCTAATGGTCGGAGACGATGGGAACTGTGATCCAGCACACCTGGAAGACCCTATGCTCCGCACCCTTGATTTAGACTGTGCCACCTGAACTGTTTCTGGAGGTCACTAATACAGCGAAAATGTGTTTTGGAGGGGAAAGTCCAGGGCAGCTTGGGTGTGCTATATGATGCTAAATGAAACATACTCACTTACAGGCCACCTTGTTTTAAGAAAAGGTACTTTATAGTGGCAGAACAAGATGTACAAATCCCAGGCTGGGAATCAGAGGGCTTCATATCCTACAAGTATTTCTCTTAAATGATTTACAGAGTTGTGTACAGAGTGCAAATAGTCAACTGATTAGAAATTTGTTGGCCAAGGCTAAATTGTCGTTAGCAACGGTCAGAAGAGTTTTTAAAAGAGGCGGCAGAGAGGTGCAGAGAAGTTTGATGGTACATGACTGTGAATGAATTAAGCGCTCCTCTCATATTTCATGCTGGAAGACTTAATGCCAAACTAATGTCTTTCAAGACTGAGCGAAGTTCTTGGCATTCTGGAACAGACAGTATTCACAAGAAAACTTACGGACACCAGTTCTCTCCTTAACTATTTGACTTTTGCTCATCAATTGACATTCGATTATACGAGCAAGTATATTATTTTCATGCTTTGTGCAGCCAATCGAGTTTAATGACCTCTCTATATACCAGCCTTGCTTTAAACTGCTTGGCTTGTTGCTGCAAGTGACAAGGAATTTCACCCTGGCAAGTGAATGGCCTGCCAGAAGAGAGGAAGAGTCTTCTGCATTTCTGTGTTGCAGAAACCAAACAGGTTGGTGGCAGAGGTATGGAGCGCTTCATCCCTTCTTTACCAATTCACTGCATTTCTATAATAAATGTGCAGGGGACAAAGCTCCCTGCTGCATGACAAAACCAAGAGGACCATGGCAGAGAGAAAGAACACTCCTTCCTTCTACCATCAGGCTGCTGTGTTCTTGCTAAAGGAAAGAGCACTCCAGAAATTCCACACCAGACTGAATTTCTATCTCCTGTGCCTTTCATGCATCCTAGAATCTGCAGAGACTCAATACCAGACCAGGACACTGGGGCCATATTCACATCATACATTTAAGCACTATGTTATCATAGCCATGCCTTCCCTCAAAGAATCATAGGAAGTGCAGGGAGTTATTAGGAGATCCTTAGTCCCTCTCAGAGACCTACATTTCCCAGGGTGGTGTAGCAGTCAATCCCTCCTCACAGGGGACTCTGGGAACTGTAGCTCTGGGAGTGGAATAGGGGTCTCCTAACAACTCTCAGCAGGGACGCGGGTGGTGCTGTGGTCTAAACCACTGAACCTGGGGCTTGCCTATCAGAAGGTGGGCAGTTCGAATCCCTCTGACGGGGTGAGCTCCCGTTGCTCGGTCCCAGCTCCTGCCAACCTTGCAGTTCAAAAGCACGCCAAAGTGCAAGTAGATAAATAGGTACCGCTCTGGCGGGAAGGTAAACGCCGTTTCCATGTGCTGCTCTGGCTTCGCCAGAAGTGGCTTGGTCATGCTGGCCACATGACCCAGAAAAACTGTCTGCGGACAATGCCGGCTCCCTCGGCCAGTAAAGCAAGATGAGCACTGCAACCCCAGAGTCTTTCGCGACTGGACTTAACTGTCAGGGGTCTTTTACCTTTACCTTTTTAAGAACTCTCAGCACCCTTAATACCCTACAGCTCCAAGCCACGACTGTTTAAAGCAGTATGATAGCGCTTCAAATGTGCGGTGTGAATGTGGCCTAAGAGGAGGCTATGGCTGCTCAGAAATCCAACTAATCTGGTGAATAAAAAACGAGGTCTCTTCTAGCAAAGTCTGCTCCACCTACCTACACAATGCACAATGATGGCATCCTCTTCTCCTGCAGAGGGGTGGGTAACATCACCTATAACATACTTGATGGAGCTCAGGTCAGGGTCTGTGTACTCCAAATCCGCACCCATCCCACTTTCTAAATCTCTCTCCATCTCCTCTTCGCTGCTCTCTTCTGACTCCAGGCTGTAAGACCTGTAGTGATTTGCTTCCCACCAGGCCATCCTGAATTTAAAAAGAAGAAGAAGAAGTATGCATCAGGTTGTTAAGAGAGGTTTCCCATGTTTTGTATTAGCAATACACCACCTATTTTACTGTAAACTCAGTAATAATAATACAGTGGTGCCCCGCAAGACGAATGCCTCGCAAGACGAAAAACTCGCTAGACGGGCAGGGCAAAAAGCCCAGAATAAAATTTAAGATATTAACAGATGCGAAGGAAAGAGGGGGATTTGCCCTGCCAGACTTAAAACTGTACTATGAATCAGCAGCGTTCTGCTGGATTAAAGAGTGGATGCTCCTCGAGAATACAGATATCTTGGATTTAGAAGGTTTTAATAATGCATTTGGTTGGCATGCATATCTATGGTATGACAAGGTCAAAGTGCATAAGGCTTTTAAAAATCACATTGTCAGAAAAGCACTGTATAATGTTTGGACTAAATATAAAGATCTGTTGGAGAATAAAACTCCAAGGTGGTTGTCACCCTTGGAAGCTAAAGCGGTGAAAAAACTCAATATGGAGGTCAGGTGGCCAAAATATTGGGAAATTTTGGAACAAGAAGGGGATCAACTGAAATTACAGAGTCATGAGAAACTAAAAACAAAAGTACGAGATTGGCTCCATTATTACCAAATAATGGAGGTTTATAAACAAGACAGGAAAATTGGCTTCCAGGTGGAGAAATCAAAATTAGAAACTGAACTGTTAGAACCCAATGTTAAGAATTTGTCAAGAATGTATAATTTGTTGCTGAAATGGAATACACAAGATGAAACAGTCAAATCAGTCATGATCAAGTGGGCAGAGGATATTGGACATAATATTTTGTTTGCTGACTGGGAATGGTTGTGGACCACCGGCATAAAATTTACAGCATGTAATGCCTTAAAGGAAAATATTATGAAAATGATTTATAGGTGGTACATGACCCCAGTCAAGCTAGCAAAAATATATCATTTGCCTGATAATAAGTGTTGGAAGTGTAAAGAAACTGAAGGTACTTTCTACCACCTTTGGTGGACGTGCCCGAAGATTAAGGCTTTCTGGGAAATGATATATAATGAAATAAAAAAGGTACTTAAATGTACCTTCCCTAAGAAACCAGAGGCCTTTCTTTTGGGCATTGTTGGCCAATTGGTGTCGAAGAAAGACAGAACTTTTTTCATGTATGCTACTACAGCAGCAAGAATACTCATCGCAAAGTATTGGAAGATCCAAGATTTACCCACTCTGGGAGAATGGCAGATGAAGGTGATAGACTATATGACATTGGCAGAAATGACTGACAGAATCCGTGAACAGGGGAAAGAGATGGCGGAGGAGGATTGGAAGAAGTTTAAAGCTTATCTAAAGAAATATTATAAAATTAATGAATGTTAAAATGTCGAGGTTTTTGTAAGAAAAGGAGATTACAGCGACAAAACATTAAGTTAAAGAAAAGAACAATAAGGGATAAATTTATTAAAATTAAATTTAGGATTTGCTGAAATTGTGGGAATGTTCTGGGGTGCAGGAAAGGATATATTGACTAATTATATCCTGATCCAACTTGTGCTAACAAGTTCCCAAAATATCAGCAGAGTTTACATACATTCCCCTTTAGTACGCAACGGTAACGTGTGCACAGGTTCGCTAGAACCTCTATAATAATTACCCTGGTAATTTCCCCTTTAGTTCCCTCTTAAAATACAAGACACGACACAGTCTTCATAAAAGTATAAAAGAGTTTACTCACGTCCTGTTCACAATGTGATCCCAGACGGCAGACAGGCTTAAAAAGGTTACATAGATTTAGAATCTATCTCATAGCAAGATAGGCCTTATCTCCTCTCTTGGCTGGGAGCCAAGAGGGCATCCTTAGGTGTTTCCTCGTCGAAGGAAAAAGGCAGAGAGAGAGAGATGGCTGCCTGCCCTGTGCTTTTTGTCATCACCTGCACAGGTGAGGCCACACCCACCTCTAGTCACATGTGGAGGAAGTCCGTCCCCAGGAAGTTTACCTGCTTGCTGGACAGACATCCCCACCATGTTCTAACATGTACACTCTAGGAATGTTGTCATTGACTGCTCCTGTGTTTACATCCCACAGAAATAAGTTTGGAAATTGGGATGTAGAAAGGGGAGGTTTGGGGGAGTCGGAGAAGAGAGGTTTATGAAAAAAAGGAGAGGAAATTATACATGTTTGTTTGTTTCTTTATTTATTTGTTTGTATTGTTTATAAAAATGTTGTAAAACCAATAAAATTTTTTTTTTTTTTTTAAAAAGAAAAACTCGCTAGACGAAAGGGTTTTCCGTTTTTTGAGTCGTTCTGCAAGACGAATTTCCCTATGGGCTTGCTTCGCAAGACGAAACGTCTTGCGAGTTCTTGCGGGTTTGTTTCCTTTTTCTTAAAGCCGCTAAGCCGTTAATAGCCGCTAAGCCGCTAATAGCCGTGCTTTGCAAGACGAAAAAACCGCAAGACGAAGAGACTCGCAGAACGGATTAATTTCGTCTTGCGAGGCACCACTGTAATAATAATGATAATAATACAGCATAAATGGTCAACTGAGTTCCAGCCTTCTGATCAAGGCACAGCCCAGGGATAATATATGGAGGAGAGGGTTAGCAATGGCTTCTAGCCATGATGTCTATGCTCTGCCTCCTCAGTTGGAGGCAGCAATGCTTCCAAATACAGTGGTACCTTGGTTTAAGAACAGCTTAGTTTATGAACAACTTGGATTAAGAATGCTGCAAACCCGGAAGTAGATGTTTTGGTTTGTGAACTTTGCCTTGGAAGCAGAACATGTTTCACTTCCTGTTGAGTGTGTTCCATTTGTAAATTGAGTCCCCCGCTGCTATGGGAAAGCACGCCTTGGTTTAAGAATGGACTTCCGGAATGGATTAAGTTCATAAACCAAGGTACCATGGGAGGGGAGAGAGATCTTGTGCTCATCTTCTGCTCGCTGGTTTCCCATATACATCTGGTTGGCCACTGTGAGAACAGGATGCTGGAAACAAGTAATAAATGTTGGAAATGTAAAGAAAAGGAAGGAACTTTTTATCATATGTGATGGGAATGGAAAAAAGTGAAAAACTTCTGGGAAATGATATATAATGAGATGAAAAAGAGGTTGAAATATACATTTATTAAAAAACCAGAAGCATTTTTACTTGGCATTGTAGGGGATGATATTAATAGACAGGATTGTAAGTTGTTTTTATATGCAATGGCGGCAGCAAGAATATTATTGGCACAAAAATGGAAGCAAGAAGAATTACTGACGAAAGAAGGATGGCAAATGAAATTAATGGACCATGAAGAATTAGATAAATTAACAGGAAGGATCCGAAACCTGTGGGATCAGAGATTCTTAGAAGACTGGAGTAAATATTTGAACTATTTGAAAAGCTACTGTAATAAACAGATTATGTTAGTAGGATTGCAGGAAGTTCTGTAAGGAGGACTATTTGAAACATTGCAAGAAAGACTATGATGAGAATTATTAGTTAAGGGCAATTAAAAGTAATAGAGAAATTAAGAAATGCAGGACAAGTGATAGAGAACGGAAAATCTTCAGAAGTTGTTGATGGAAGTCTAAAATATTGTATAAGAAAAGAAGTTATGTTAAATGATTGTTGGAAATGATATGCTTAAAAATATATATATAGAGAGAGAACAGGATGCTGGACTAGGTAGGCCACTATGTTCTTATGAGGCCTGGGGCCTGCTGGCAGTCTTCTCGGAGTCAGGCTGTTTGAGAAGACAGCCCAAAGTGACACAAGAGGTACTGCAATTTGAAAATAACATTGAACTGGGAACTTGCTAACTTTTAGCAGTAAGTCTTAAAATTTGAACAGAAGTGCCAGAGCGTTTTTGACATTTGTCAGGAAGTATCACAGTCAAATGCCTTCAGTAAATATACAGAATGTCATTCTTATTTCCATCATGTTACAGTGCTGAAAAGAAAACAACCTAGACCAAATGAAAATTTCCAACACACATATGCTTTTTTCTTGGGAGAAAAGCAATGACAAACCTAGACAGCATCCTAAAAAGTAGAGACATCACCTTGCCAACAAAGGTCCGTATAGTAAAAGCTATGGTTTTCCCAGTAGTGATGTATGGAAGTGAAAGCTGGACCATAAAGAAGGCTGATTGCCGAAGAATTGATGCTTTTGAATTCTGGTGCTGGAGGAGACTCTTGAGAGTCCCATGGACTGCAAGAAGATCAAACCTCTCCATTCTGAAGGAAATCAGCCCTGAGTGCTCACTGGAAGGACAGATCCTGAAGCTGAGGCTCCAAGACTTTGGCCACCTCATGAGAAGAGAAGACTCCCTGGAAAAGACCCTGATGTTGGGAAAGATGGAGGGCACAAGGAGAAGGGGACGACAGAGGGCGAGATGGTGGGACAGTGTTCTGGAAGCTACCAGCCTGAGTTTGACCAAACTGCGGGAGGCAGTGGAAGACAGGAGGGCCTGACGTGCTCTGGTCCAGGGGGTCACGAAGAGTCGGACACGACTAAACGACTAAACAACAACAACCTGCTTTTTTCTGGGCCCTCAAAGCAGTTTGTCTCAAAGCTAAGCCACATTCTGAGTAACAGCAAAGAAGTTAGAAAGAAATACTATTTTCTGGCTTCACAAAACAGAAGGGAAAATGGCAGATAGTGTTAAAGAAAGAAAAATTGTGCAGCTCCACAGTAGTCAATGGATCAACAGCCCGTTTTAGAGTTGAAACTCATTCAGATGCTTTTTCTGTATTTTTCACAACCTAAGACGTCATAGCCTATGGATACACCTACAAAAATAATATAAATATCACTGATGTTTTACAGCTGAAATAAATCTTCCTCATTACACACAGTCTGTATCTGCACTGGCTTTGAATTTGCTTTTTCTATGAGATCTGCCCCCCGCCCCCGCCCCTAAATTGTTAAATTGCTTTTAGATTATTTATAGGAAGCAATTTGTACATGGATTTGAATAAAAAATAAAACTGCAGTAGCAAGTAAAACTGTGAAGCATCTTGACTGTTGGTGCTGCTGTGAGATCACTGCCAAGAGAGACAACCTTACTTCTTCTGCTGCTCAGCTTCTGCCTTCTTCTGCTTCTTCTCTTCCCTGAGCCTGGCCCTCTCTGCTGCTGCCTCCTGCCGCTTCCTCTGCCGAGCCGCCAGTTCTTCTGGGCTCAATTTACGCCGCTTCTTGCTGGGTCCCGGCTGAATGCCCGTGACAAGAACCTGGAAAAGGAAAAGATATTCATGGGCTGCAACAGCTTTTTCCATCTCAAGCTACTTTCATGTCCTCCTGCATCCACCACAGGAAGGCACCCTTTAGTCAGTTTTCCAGGGACTCTCAACCAGCGTGACCAAGCCGGTTTCAGTGCCCCGATTGGTCCTGAAGCCAGACTGAAATATGAATTCAGATAATCGGTGGCACTGTGGTCTAAACCACTGAGCCTCTTGGGCTTGCCGATTGGAAGGTTGACGGTTCGAATCCCCGCAACCGAGTGAATCCCATTGCTCTGTCCCAGCTCCTGCCAACCTAGCAGTTCGAAAGCACGCCAGTGCAAGTAGATAAATAGGTACTGCTGTGGCGGGAAGGTGAACGGCGTTTCCATGCGCTCTGGTTTCCGTCATGGTGTTCCATTATGCCAGAAGCAGTTTAGTCATGCTGGCCACATGACCCAGAAAGCTGTCTGTGGACAAACGCCGGCTCCCTCAGCCTGAAAGCGAGATGAGCGCTATAACCCCATAGTCGCCTTTGACTGGATTTAAATGTCATGGGGTCCTTTACCTTTTTTTTACCTTCTCCTCCAAGCATGCCTGAAGCTGGATTGCCACCCACCCAAAGTGTTCAGTGTCCTTACATTTGCTTTATTTCGGAGAGCTCTTCCTTCCTGACCTCCATCTTCAAGAAGACATTTCTGAAGACCCAGCAGAAGATCAAAGGCCTTCTGGTCTTCGTGGCTAGGTTCCTTTGAGTAGTCTTTGCCTTCATATAGGTACATGTGGCCTTAAAACAACAAGCATCTCAAAATGAGCCACCAACATCACAGCAGTTTTTTTGTTTTAAGATAAGGTTGAGCATCGCAATGCTCTTTTAAAAAAGTTGCCTCCTTTGTTTAGTGTGCTCTGACAGTTCCAACAATACAGTCATACCTCGAGTTGAATGTGCTTCAGGTTGAGCGCATTCAACTTGCGCTCCGCGGCAACCCAGAAGTAACAGAGCGCGTTACCTCCAGGTTTCGCAGCTTGCGCATGCGCTCAAAATGACGTCACGCACATGTGTGCCGTCGCATCTTACGTTAAGCCCTTAAAAGAAAGTGTGGATTAGCACCAACATAAATGATCGATTTATTAAAAATTACATTAGAGGAACTTAAGTGAACGGTTTTGGACAAAATACAAAATCAAATTACAAAGTAACTGCCGTTCTGTTCAATAGTTCCACTCAGAAAGGAAACTACTGTGAAATTCTGGACAAAAGGGTCAATGATATTCAGTCTACGGTGACTGTTTCCTGCAGTAGGGGTATTTTAGCTGATGTTTCATCAACTTCCCTATCACACAAAGGTCCGATAAAAAATAGGACATCTTCTATTTGACCAATTAATAAATCCAAATTTAAAAAAGGAATTCTAATTAAGCAAATGAAGACTAGGGCTCCGATACCCAGCATCTCCTCTAAACCTTATTTTTCAATTAACTACGGTTGTGTATTCTCACATCTGGCTAGTTTGCATTGGGATGTCAAAGGCATAGACCATATCCCAGCACCACCACTAAAGGTGAGTAAAGCTGAACTTGCCTTTCACCCTATAGCTTCAGACACTCTTCTCCCAACCTAGCTCAAATACTAGAAGAGACACTGCTGGGATATAAAGGAGCTTCAAGCTACAGAGCTGCATTGTATCACTTTGATACCCATGCACAGCTTTTGCTGCAAAAAGTAGACTCACAAACCCTATTTTATATGTGAATGGGCTGATCCATTATCAGCAAATATGGCTGCTCCCATCAGATCTGTCTCCTGTAAAAACACCTTGGCTATTGGATGCAACACAACTTCAGTGAAGCAAACTTCAAAGGATGAATACTGACGCAAGGCCAGCTTTCTCGGATCAGAGCAAATGTCATTCTAATCTAGCATCCCATTTCCAAGAATGACCAGACTGATGCCTCCAAGGAAACTCAGAAGCAAGGCATGGAGGTAACAGCCCTCTCTTGCATCTGCGTCAGAAGTCTACAAATGCCGCTGGATTTGAAAGCCCCATTCAGCTAGATCTTGGCAGCTCTATCCTCTATTGTCTCTAACCCTCTCATCAAAGCCAAGGCAGAACAACCCACACTTAATTTACTACAGTTCTGCTTCCAAACCAACTTCTGAACGGAAACAAGGTTCTAAGGGGATGTAAGTTTAAGTAGAGTCTGAAGTTTTGGAAAGGAAAGGTTACAATGAAAGCAGTGAGGAGCAGGCAGAACTATCTTTCTTAAGCAGAGGCCAATGGTTAGCTGTTTGGAAAAAATGGGAAGGGTGAACGAGTAGGGCTAGGGTTTAGAAACAAATATCAGTTTTCAAACTGAGGCCAATGCTGACCCCTACAGCTCTAAAAACCCCCAACATATTTGTGTTGGAGCCATCAACATACTTTCTGCATTTTGCTCTTCATTTTCTACATTTCCTTCTGTGGTAGACAGGACAGTTTCCATCAGCCATAATCCTTCTCTTGTCTCCCCAAGGATACTTCCCAGGTCCACATCACAGATGGTGCTTCCACCCGACGACAACAGTTTGTCCAAGCCAAATTTCAGGACTTCGCTCAGCTTTCAAAAAACGAAAAGAAAAATGGAGGCTAAAAGGCTTCACTATCACCTTCTCTAACACTTCCAGAGTGCTGCTCCTATCGGTATATTAGGAAGATATAGGAGCTTGGACAGGCATGAAGAAGATCCTATTGATCAAATTCCCATTATACTTGTGTATGAACTGCTTTGAGAGCCAACACAACAGAAGCCTTTTTCATAGCGATAAAGCAATCCCCGATCCAACACAATTCCCCGATCCAACACAATTCCCCGATCCAACACAATTCCCCGATCCAACACAATTCCCCGATCCAACACAATTCCACGATCCAACACAATTCCCCGATCCAACACAATTCCCCGATCCAACACAAACAGTGCTAAATCTCTTTGTTGCATTCCACAACCTTTTAATAAAAGTAGGGCTGGCTTTGCACAGCAGTTTATATTGCTATCCAGAGACACATTAGGCCCCTCTTTTACCTGGATATCTGCTTCCACCTGTGATTTCTGCGCTCCGAGCGCAAACTGGCCCCCTTCGATAATGGTGCTGGTTAGCTGGAGCTTTGATGCTGCTCGCCGGTAGATTATTTCTTCCACAGTATCTCTCCCAATCAAACGAATAATTTTTACAGGCCTTGCAGAACACAGGGGTGGGGGTGGGGTGGGGAAAGCATTTAAAGATGATAGTTCACATTAGATCACAACCTATGCAATAATTAAGGAGAACAAAAAAACACAAGAAATTTCAGGAACAGCAATCGTTCACAAATCATTCACAAAGCTTTCCAGGAGACAGGGTGTGTATGTGAGTTGATGCCTTTTGTGCTGGAGTAGCAACCTGTAGAATCACAGATCTGGAGGAGTCTTTGTAGGTATTTATGGGAGGTATGGTCAGGGACTTGGACGCAGTTTTACTGAGTAGTGCTGCATCAATGCAACGCAGCAGGATGGGTGGAACATATCCTTAGGGAGAGAAGAAGCAAAGTACACAAAAGATTTGTCCTCACTTGTTCTGGCCGATTCTGTGGGCTCTTGCTGCGGCTTGTAGGTCATTTTGTGGGTTAAAGTCACTGTCAACAAAAACAACTGTGTCTGCTTCTGTAAGATTCATGCCAACCCCACCTTGGGAAATAAAGGAGGGCGACATTGGAGTTTTCATAATGGAAATAGCATTGCAAATGAAATACACATTTCCCCTCTTTACAGCCCCAAAGCAAATGGTGACTAGAGAGAGAAACTGTTAGTTAATTTGACTGACTGCATGGAACAGTATTTCGATAAAACGGTATATTGAGCAGTGTTTTTTTCTGGGGGTACACATACCACTAAACATTTTGTGAATCTAAGTTTGGCCTCATTGAGGGGCAGTATTTCAATATGAGAAGGAAAATGAGAGTACCCCTATACTTTTTTTTTAATAGAAAAAAGCACTGATATGAAGTATATCTGCATTTCATTTAATTAGATCAGTGTTTCCCAAACTTGGGTCTCCAGGTGGTTTTGGACTACAACTCCCACCATCCCTAGCTAGCAGGAGCACTGGTCATGGGTGATGGGAGTTGTAGTCCAACAACAGATGGTGACCCAAGTTTGGGAAACACTGATTTAGAGGAATAAACCATGTAATCCCAAAGGGAAGGTAAACAATGTTAAAAAATAAGCGTATTGTTACATACAATTACATTAAAATACCGTATTTTTCGCTCTATAGGACGCACTTTTCCCCCTTCAAAAATGAAGGGAAAATGTGTGTGCGTCCTATGGAGCGAAGAAGCCATAGCCCCGCGACCCTCTCCCAGTTGGAGAGGTAACGCGCGGCTGTGGCAGGAGCCTCTATAGCCGTCCGTCACCTCTCCAACCGGGAGAGAGCGCGCGCGGGGCTAAAGAAGCCCTCCGCGACCCTCTCCCAGCTGGAGAGGTGACGGGCGGCTATGGCAGGAGCCTCTATAGCCGCGCGTCACCTCTCCAACCGGGAGAGCGCGCGCGGGGCTAATGAAGCCCTCCGCGACCCTCTCCCAACTGGAGAGGTGACGCGCGGCTATGGCAGGAGCCTCTATAGCCGCGCGTCACCTCTCCAACCGGGAGAGCGTGCGCGGGGCTAAAGAAGCCATCCGCGACCCTCTCCCAACTGGAGAGGTGACGCGCGGCTATGGCAGGAGCCTCTATAGCCGCGCGTCAACTCTCCAAACGGGAGAGTGCGCGTGGGGCTAAAGAAGCCCCCCGCGACCCTCTCCCAGCTGGAGAGGTGACGCGCGGCTATGGCAGGAGCCTCTATAGCCGCGCGTCACCTCTCCAACCGGGAGAGCGTGCGCGGGGCTAAAGAAGCCCTCCGCGACCCTCTCCCAACTGGAGAGGTGACGCGCGGCTATGGCAGGAGCCTCTATAGCCGCGCGTCACCTCTCCAAACGGGAGAGTGCGCGCGGGGCTAAAGAAGCCCCCGCGACCCTCTCCCAGCTGGAGAGGTGACGCGCGGCTATGGTAGGAGCCTCTATAGCCGCGCGTCACCTCTCCAACCGGGAGAGCACGCGCGGGGCTAAAGAAGCCCTCCGCGACCCTCTCCCAGCTGGAGAGGTGACGCGCGGCTATGGCAGGAGCCTCTATAGCCGCGCGTCACCTCTCCAAACGGGAGAGCGCGCGTGGGGCTAAAGAAGCCCCCCGCGACCCTCTCCCAGCTGGAGAGGTGACGCGTGGCTATGGTAGGAGCCTCTATAGCCGCGCGTCACCTCTCCAACCGGGAGAGCGCGCGCGGGGCTAAAGAAGCGTCACCTAGCCCCGCGACCCTCTCCCAGCTGGAGAGGTGACGCGCGGCTATGGTAGCAGCCTCTCCGCTGCGCGCCTTTCCGCTTCTCCCCAACCTGCTCTTTGGGGCTGGTGGTGGGCTTCCCCCCCGCCAGCCCCAAGGAGCAGGTCAAAAGGAACCTGAAGCCTGGAGAGGAGAGGGGTCGGTGCGCACCGACCCCTCTCCAGGCTTCCAAGGTAGCCGCCTGAAGGCGACTGAACGCACCTTAAACGGCAACTTGTTTTAGAGGGGGAAAACAAAAGGGGAAAATTCTCCCCCTCTCTGCGCAACGCCTCCTGCCGCTTCGCTGAAGGGGCGCTGGGCAGAGAGGGGGTGAATTTTTTTTTCTTGTTTTCCCCCCTCTTAAACAAGGTGCGTCCTATTGTCCGGTGCGTCCTATGGTGCGAAAAATACGGTACCATTTCAAAAGCCTTCTGACCCAATGGACCCTCTCATCCATACTGCATATAAATGTAGCTGACCCATATTTGGAGTCATGGATGTGTTCCTCTCATGAGTAGCTTACACCTCAGTTTTTGTTCAACTTCTCGAAACCTGTGAGGTACATTAACCAGAGAGAACACCCAGAATCATCCAGTGAGCTTCACAGTTGAGCTGGGACTTGAATCTGAATTTCTCTGGTCCACTATACCATACTGAGAGAACCAGGGTAAAATTGAATTTTACTGTATTTCACCTCGCTAGTCTTTGTTGAGCTGCAATACTTGCTTTAAAAGCTAGAGACTGCAATTTAAAAAAAAAATGAAATTAAGTGTTTGCGTAGGAAGGAAACAACAGATGCATTGAAGACTGGCTCTGACAACAGGCGTAATGCTAAAGTCTAGCACAGCACCAGTACAACTGGACTTGAATTTACATAAAAATTTCTGCTTGACCTCCAGGCTATTTGGATAAGCCAAGCTGCACTCAGTTCAAGGTGTTTTGTGTGCATCTCTATTCGCCACCTGGGAAGGCGGCAAAGGGATCCCACCTTTTTGTAACGTTTGCCTTACCTGCCCTCGTGCTCAGGAGGAAGACAAAAATGGGCTGCTGGCCAAAATTCTTAATGGCAAGGTGCCTCTCTTCACCTCGGACAGATCCATCCAGGCGCTCGTAGCTGTAACCTTTTCGGTTAAAAGAAGAATTAAATGGATTAATCACAGCCATTCAAAAAACTTCTGCGCCTGTGGCCCTTTAGAATCTTTATCCTGCACTGTCCCCTATCCACATCTCAATTTTCTTTCTCCACAGTCCTCTCTTTGCTGTCCCCTTTTACTCTCCCCTTCCTGTTCCTTTCTAATTATGCCATTTCCCTTTACACTATTGTACTAGTTTTTCAAGTTACACAGACACATCTTCGGCCCCATCTGCGTTATACATTTTAAGTGGTACCATACCACTTTAAACAGGCTCCCCCTCAAGAATGCTGGGGACTGTAGTGTAGAGCTTGGGTGTAACCTTCGACGCCTCCCTTTCCAAGGAGGCGCAGGTTGAAGCAGCCAGCAAAGGTGGCATTTTCCCATCTCCGCCGTATTAAGCGGTTGGTCCCTTACCTTTCTCGCCCTGATCTGGCCACAGTGATCCATGCGATGGTCACCTCCAGGCTTGATTACTGTAACTCGCTCTTTGCGGGGCTGCCCTTGAAGCTGACCCAGAAACTCTAGCGGGTGCAGAATGCCACGGTGAGGCTCCTTACGGGGTCCTTGCTGCGGGATCACATTCATCCAGTGCTTTACCAACTGCACTGGCTCCCGGTGGAGGACAGGGTCAGGTTTAAGGTGCTGGTTTTGACCTTTAAAGCCCTATGCAGCCTAGGACCCACGTACCTATGGGACCGCCTCTCCTGGTATGCTCCGCGGAGGACCTTAAGGTCCACAAATGACAACACTTTGGAGGTCCCAAGTCGCAAGGTGGTTAGGTTAGATTAGTCTCAACTAAGGCCAGGGCCTTTTCAGTACTGGCCCCGACTTGGTGGAATGCTCTGTCACAAGAGACTAGGGCCGTGCGGGACTTGACATCTTTTTGCAGGGCCTGCAAGATGGAGCTGTTCTGCCTGGCCTTTGGTTTGGACTCAGTCTGACCCTTATGTTTCCCTCCCCTTATGGTTTTGATCTATGGGCTACTATTAAAATGAGGCTGCATTTTAAATTATATTTTAACCTGTATTTTAAATTGGTTTGTGTTTTTTTGTAATTTTACTGGTGTTAGCTGCCCTGAGCCCGGCTCTGGCCAGGGAGGGCGGGGTATAATTAAATTATTATTATTATTATTATTATTATTATTATTATTATTATGTAAGAGTGACAAAGTTGGATCCGGAATCATCCCCAGACTGCATACCTGCTCCTTCAAGAGGGATGCAACTCCATCCAAGGCAGGCAATTGGCCTATTTCTTGGACCAGAGAAATGCCACTCACCCACAGCACTTCCCTTTCACCAGGATTCAAGCTCAGCTTATTTTCCCTCACCTGTCCCAGCACAGTACCCAAGTCCCTGGGCCAGGTCTGCATGGCTTCTCCCAACACAGATATTATGGAGAAATTGCGTATTGATGGCACCTTGCCCTTGATCCCCTAATGACCATTTCCAGAGGCTTAATATAGACGATGATAATAAATAAGAATAAGAAGTTATTATTTATACCCCGCCCATCTGGCTGGGTTTCCCCAGCCACTCTGGGCGGCTTCCAACAAAAGATTAAAAATACATTAAAACATCAGTCATTAAAAACTTCCCTAAACAGGGCCATTAAACTTCCCTAAACAGGGCCATTAAACTTCCCTAAACTTCCCATTAAACAGAATCTGAGACTGCTTCTGCCAGCTCAGCTAGAGAGGTTGTAGTGCAGCAGGGGGTGGTACGCTAACAACATCCCTACTTAGTTTATTGGCCCAACACCCTAGAACCTCGACACAGTCTCTTGGCAAGAGAGAGAGAGATTTTTTATGGATAGTGACCTTTCCTTACCACCCCTTTAACCTAGAATGGTGATGCACAGCACCTGGCTGGACACAGCTGAGTTAGCAGTGTTTCTTTGCCCAGGTCTTGCTTGTACACACAAAGTTGGCCTCTCACCCACTATCAAACAGTGGATGATAGATGTTTTGTTCTCAGTTTAATAACACCATTAGTAGACCAGCTGATCCTGAAATAAAGCAGGCGAAATAAGAGGGGACAAGAGCTTTTGATATATAAAATGGCTGAATTGTGGAACAGATTTCACTGCACATGGCAGATCTACTCCTAAACCAGTGAGGGGCTGTTAGAAGCCAAGGGAGGGGTACAGATGCCAATCAAAATCAACCCCTCCTCCCCAATTCCTATCCTGTTCACCAGGAGGTAGCAGCCTGGTCAGCGTTCATGACAGATTAACCTCAGAACCTCCTATGGAAGGAAAATGCTTAAGATGCAAGCTCAGACAGGGAGGAAACATGTTCTGACTCATTTGCTACTCAAGGCACTGAGACAGATTCTGGACCGAGACCCAGGTGTATTCACAGACCACTAGTCAAGACCTTTTCTTTGCGGCCCTTCTCCGTACCCAGAATCAGGATCAGACACATCAAGAAACAGGGGCATTTACCTCTGTAATCCATATAGTCTTGCAGGATATCCAGCATCTGTGTCATTTGGGAAAACAGCAAAACACGATGACCACTGGAATGAGAAAGGAAGGGAAGGCTCTGACTTCAGCTCAGCTTTCTGTGTAGCGTAACTAAGCTTGCCTCAACTAAGGAAGACTGCAACCCAATGTGCTCTGATTTGAGAATAGGCTAACAAATAGAGGGATGGGGCTGCCATTGTGGAAATGCAGGAAGAGTCCAACCTCATTGCTCAATTTGCAATTGCAGAGGTGACACCAGAAGGCCACACTCGAGCCACACAAAATCCAAACACTGTAAATTGTTTCAAAGCAGGTTTTACAAACCCGCTTGAAGATTTGCAACACTGAGGCTGCACACACCTCCTAGGCAAAGGAATTCCACAATTCTGGAGGCCACCACCAAATGGCCCCTGTCTCTCATGCCTGCCAACTGAAATGACTTTATAGGCAGGCTGTCAACACCTGTGAAGAGTCGTGCAGGTAAAGGTGGTCCTTTACTCTGCTGATTTATGGAAAGTAATAAAGTTCAGTAGTGAAACACATACCCTGCATATAAGAAAGACAGAAGTTTATCCAACAAGCTCAGCTTCCCACTGGCTTCAATGAGATGATCCCCAATGATAAAAGGTTCTGGTTCAACACCTGAAATGGAAAGACATTTTAGCAAGAAACTTCTCTGTTAACACTGCAGACTCTAGACTACTAACCACAAAAGGATTGCACCTGAATATCTACTTCAAGGCAGAGCAAATAATTGTCTTTGCTGTTCCCAAACACTCAAATATACTTTCAGAGGGAAATGGAAGTCTTTTCCTGATCAAGCCCTTTGCAGCAGGACCCTCAGAATAGCGTAATCTTGGCACACAGAAGCATCTCCGTTCCCTACAACCCAATAAGGAGAGAAACTGCACTTGCCCCATCACTAAGCTGCATAAATAGGCTTTGCATCTGCTGATGTGAAGCATGCAAAAAATAGCTTTTCGCTACAAAGAGCTAGCAAACTATAGTACATTTAAAAAATCACTGAAATACACTATATTAAAGCTAGCAGCAGAATCCCCAGGTAAACACATGATAGTTTCTTGGCTAGGCAATCTAGCAAGGAAGATGGGAGTTCTGTAAATCACAGCAACTCCACTCCCTCTTATGAGTTGGCAAATGCAAGTTCTGGCTCCATCACTCCATAACAAGGATGTGCTGGAAACTTACAAGTTGCAAGTTGTATATATTACAGACAAAAGTCCTAGGGTGAGAAGCAGCCCTTAAGTTGCACGCTGGATTTGCACCAATGGGCAAACCTTCTCAGTTGTGCAGAACAGACAGCAAACCAACTCAAAGTACTTCCTGAAAGGAGATGCTTGAAACAGTCATACACCTCTTGGTAAAAATAAGTTAAGGCAAACAGTAAGGCTAGATAAAATGGGACGCGGGCGGCGCTGTGGTCTAAACCACTGAGCCTAGGGCTTGCCGATCGGAAGGTTGGTGGTTCGAATCCCGGCGACAGGGTGAGCTCCCCTTGCTCGGTCCCAGCTCCTGCCAACCTAGCAGTTCGAAAGCATGTCAAAGTGCACTGATCCGGCGGGAAGGTAAACGGCGTTTTCATGCACTGCTCTGGTTTCGCCAGAAGTGGCTTAGTCATGCTGGCCACATGACCTGGAAAAACTGTCTGTGGACAAACGTCGGCTCCCTTGGCCAGTAAAGTGAGATGAGCGCCATAACCAGAGTCGTTCGCGACTGGACTTAACTGTCAGGGGTCCTTTACCTTTACCTTAAAGGCTAGATAAATGGTGTCTACACTGACTTGTTTAATGTTATTTCCCCTTAGTAGAAATGTATTAGATATGTCATTCTAAAATGTCACAGGGCATACATGGTAATTAAAATGTTTTTACCTTGGTTTTTTCATCTAAAGTAAATAATACTGTCACACCATTCTCTGAAACGCTGTTTCTTTCCCTGCTGGTCGCTCTGCTCCACCCTTTCGTGTCACATTTTAATTCTTCCTTCCTTCCTCCCTCTATTTCCTTTTGTTATCTGCCCCTCAAATACCATTGGAAGGGGGTTGGCGTTTGAATGCAGTAAAAAAAAGTAAAATGCTACATAGGGACATATGAGTTTTCCATCGATATAGCAGCATAAAACAATTAAAAATTCAGCAATTAAAAAAACAATAACGTATTATGAACGTAAGAGGTAGGACGTCTTGTGTCCATCTATGCCATGGGTTGGCAAACTAAGGGCTGCGGGCCAGATCAGGCCTTCTGGATCCGGCCCACAGATGGTCCGGGAACCGTCGTGTGGATCGCCAGCGCGTCCGTTCTTTCCCTCTCCCTCACATGGCGGCGGTGCCTCCTCCCTCCCTCTTCCTGGCTTCTCCCCGCCCTGCCTAGAGGAGGAAGAGGGCTGGGCTTTGTTGGTGCCAGCAGCAGCAGTGCTCAAGCAGCCGCCATTTTAAGCAGCCCCTCTCTGGAGCCCTTTCACATGCCGCTCACTGTCCCTCCGCTGCCACCGCCAATCCCTACCACTCGCAAGACACAGGTAAGCAGCCACTCAGGCTCGTGGTGCTCTTGCATCATCCCCCCCCCAAATATATTCTGGCGCCCCACAAGGTCTGAGGACAGTGGACCAGCCCCCTGCTGAAAAAGTTTGCTGGTCCCTGATCTATGTTATCAAAAGCATTCCTAATCCCTTCCTTAACATTAAAAAGCATGAGTAGAGATCTGCCCTTTGTTCATCTCTGAGGTTTCTTCCCTTTTAAGTCCCAGATCGGCACCTCCCCGCTTTTTCATTCTGATGGGCAAGTAAGCCATGACGAGATCTGCTTAGCCTCCGAGAGGTGACAGCCACGCCTGCTTCAACAGCAGCACCGGCGACGATGGTCCTGGGTGGCCTTCTTACCATTGAACAGATACGGATGAGCTACACATTTCCGGAGTTGAACTAACACGTTCTGGAGCTTTGCTTTTTCCCCCGATTCATTTTCAAATGCATCTAAAATATAGAACAAAGGGTTTTTTTAAAAAAATAAAAATGTTGTATTCAGTCAGTCAAAGCAGTGATTAACTAGCGAGTTTATTTTCCATTCAAGCCAGAAGTTTGATTACTGCCGTTCCACAAATTCAATATTTAAATCACTTAGGTACTCACTGAGAGTGGAGCATTTTTTGGGTGGCGGCGGGGGAGTGCCGAACCAAAGATCACTATCCAACTGGCAAACACTAACCATCGCAAGCAATGCAAGCCAAACTGCCAAAGTGGCAGCCAATCCAAAGCATCCGCTAATAACCCGCCCATTTGACAAAGCAGCCGCCAATCCAAAGCAGCCTTTTACGCATCCACAAATAACCCACCCAGCTGACAAAGCAGCAGCCAATCCAAAGCAGCCCTTGCAGCAGACACCATTCACTCACCCAATCGCTAGATCCTGCTTGAGGAGGTAACCAATCGCCTGTCCCATCTGCTGCACTACCCATGTATAAGACCCCCCCCCCATTTTTTTACTTTTTTTGGGAGTAAAAAACCCTCGTCTAATACACGGAAAAGTACGGTAACTTGTAGCTGAAATAACATTGCGTGGTTATGTTCGCTGCTTGTAAGGTTTAACAAAAATAGTAAACACAGTAATGAAATGGCAACAGAGGGCTCTTCTATACTTTTGCCTGTAAAAGTATATAAATTTAAAAAGTATATAAATTTATTATTTATACTCCGCCCATCTGGCTGGGCTTCCCCAGCCACTCTGGGCGGCTTCCCAAAAAATATTAAAATACTATAATACATCAAACATTAAAAGCTTCCCTAAACAGGGCTGCCTTCAGATGTCTTTTAAAAGTCTGGTAGTTGTTGTTCTCTTTGACATATGGTGGGAGGGCGTTCCACAGGGCGGGTGCCAGTACCGAGAAGGCCCTCTGCTTGGTTCCCTGCAACTTGGTTTTACTGCTGAACTGGAGCAAATGTCAGTTGGGTTCTCTGCAGACTGCTACGATTCAGCAGGTTTTCCCAGAGAAAGCGGCAGGCAAAGGGAAAACCACTCAGATCCATCCCTAGAAATCACAGGAAAAGCACTCAGACCCAAGCTTTTTAGGCACACGACAAGCGGAAGTGTGGAAGGACCCCCAAAGTCTCTGCCTCCCAGGCACCCGTAAAACCACCACGCTCACTTCATTCCGATTCCAAAGTCTTCCCCTTGCCCAATTACCTAGGTCTTTCATCAAAACAGCCTTGTAAAACTTTCTCTGCAAGGCTGACATCCCGTGGTAGAGAACCACCTCCTCTTTCTTGGGGAGTTCGGCTGCCACATCAGCCTTCACTCTTCTGAGCAAGAAGGGCTGCAAGAGACTGTGAAGTTCTTTGGCTAGACGGGAGAGAAACACAGATATAGCCCTAGATTTTAAATATGAAGTGGGGGCAGGGTTTCTAAGTTCATAAAGCTGAATGCTACGTGACATATTTGAGTACCACAGGCATCTATTGCCTGATGCTCATAATTTTACCATGTGACTCAACTTGCCTTCCCACATATATACACTCAACTCAGTACATATTTTAATTTTTTATTTCTTAAAAAACAAAGAGAAGAAGCTTTCTCCTCCTCCATAGCATACCATGGAAATCTTGGCTGTAAAGCCAAAGGACTTTTTGCCTAAATGCAGACTCTACATAATCCCATTTAAAGAAAACCTTCATCTCAGTTGCCAACATTCTGCAGGTAATAGCCGACATCCAGTTATCACATTTGTACTTGCCTACTTTGCTTTCCCTTTCAATTCCATGATAATAGTGAACAAATTCTTCCACCAGCTCCTTGGGGAATGTAGCTGGTTCAATGAAAGCAAGCAGGGCATATAACTCTTGGAGGCTGTTCTGAATGGGAGTGCCCGTCAGCAGGAGGTTGAAGTCCGTTGTAAACTGAAAGAGATCCAGAATATGTACAGTTCAGGTACGACTGGGATAAGGTAGGGAGGTAAGGCAGCGTCATGATTTGGTTCCCCCTGCAACTGCATTACATCTCAAATTTCTTGCTCAGGTTGAACAGAGAATTTGCTAGCGACGACAGCCGCACGGATATCATAAGCCCAGAGATTGAAAGAAGATAAAGTCCCTGCCAGAGAAGAATGGCAAAACTGACCAGAAAGCTCAGTAACCAAGAAGACCAAACTTTAACAAAGAATGGGAATATCTCGGAGACCACTGTAAGCAGATGCAAACACTAGCAGGACTGCAATAACGCTTGTAATGTAGCAAGTACTATGGAGATAATGGAAGTTATATTATATACGGACTACTGAAAAAGATGCAGTAGAAAAGTTTTGAATATAGGACCCATGGAGGGGAAGGTGGGAAGTCCAGAGATTTGGATAATCTTTTAACTGTTGATGTGTATAGTGGTACTGTTATAATTGTATATTTGTAAAATCAAATAAAAATTATTTTAAAAAGACCAAGACTTGTCCGGTTATGAATGCCTCTGGAAGAAACTGGAGGCCTTTTTACTAGAGTTAGTTTTAGGAATGAGGCAAGGACGGTGTGCAGTTTTAGTCTTGGTATGCTTTACTTCACTACATTTGCAAATTTTCTCTATCCATGTAATTTTTATTAAATTTTCTGTTTTACAATTTAGAGTATTCATTTAAACAACCTTAAAATACCAATGACTTCCCTTCTTCTCCTTCCATGGTTCATTCTGCATAACATAAATCCCTGCATATTTTACATAAGATAAAATAAACTACATAAACTATTCAGCATTCCATTATTACACCCATCAAAACTTATTTTCACTGTTGAATTTATCTTAATGCTGTCAACATTTTCAAGCACATTTTCTAATCCTTACCTTTTCTCTGCTTTTAGAATGTATCATTATTTGGTTTGAATCTTGAAGACAAGGAGTTTATCCAGGCTTCCTGTGGTGCCATGCTTTCCAGGCTCAGGTCCGGGATTTAAAGCTCCATGTCTAAGTGGGGTGTTGGTGTTGTTTTGACCTAGTGCTCTCCCCCAGAAAACCCACATTTTACCGCTCAAGTAATGGCAATCCAAGGAAAACCCAATTGTTGTTTGCTCTGATTCAGCAGTAAAATGTGGGCTTACCCGAAGAAAGTGGCAAAAGAAGAGGAAAATGCTCAGACACTGTGTTATAATCCCAGATCTGTGCCTGGAAAGCACAGTGCAACAGGGAGTCTGCATGAAACCGAGGAAAAGCCAATCCACCTAACAAAACAAAAACTCACTGTAGAAGATCATCTATCTGAGCACAAGTCAGAAGGCTGTGACAAGACATATGTGCTTTCCTTCTTCACAAAGGCCAGGACTGTAGTTCTCTTTACCTCAGAGAGTACTTTATGAAGTAGTGACTCCTGATTCTTCAGTCTGTGAGCTTCGTCCACAACAAGACAAGCCCAGCTGAAACTGAACACAGGGAAGAAAAGTTAGAGGAACCAAAACCACCAGGGGCAACCAGACACAAGACGTTTGTCCTGTTTCCTTACTCAGAGCTACTGGGTTATATTACATACTATGGTTCCTTTCTTCTTCCTCCCAGATTTCTGCACACAAACATACACAAAAAAGAACTCCATTATTGCATCAACTGATTTTTTAAAATCCATATGCCAATGCTTGCAGGCACAGAAAGCTGTCAGCACTTAGTCCGATTAAGATATGAACTCTTTCAAGAGCACTTTGAACAGAGTTTTAAAAGCCTACACAGAGCAGAAGGTTAAACCAGAAAGGGCAGTAGCGACTCAAAATTAATTTCCTCTGGCTGAAGGGAAACATGAAGGGAAACATTGAGATTATCCTCACAAGAGTGCTATTGTGCTATCTTGTGAAAAACAACCATTAGCCGACACCTGCCATTTACAAGGGCCTATGTACTTAATTATTGAATTTTTAAACATTAGAATATTTTGAAACCTAAAAGTGCTATTTATTTTCTGAGGTGCTACAGCTGCTGAATTTTTAAAAAGAAAAACAAACAAACATCAAACTCATCATACTGCTTCTAGAACATCTGTTTCTCTTTGCACTCAAAATATTAGCTGCTGCTATTAGTCTTCTGGAGGTTTTAAAAGATTACAGCAAAATTCTGCTTAATTGATTAGGAAAACAACTCATTAGATAAAGACACAGTCACATGGAGGCTTAATTAAAAAGATTACACCCCCCCAATAAATACATTTTCTCTCTCTGAGAAAAAAAGGCTTTTAGGCATCACCATTTCAGCATCAACCTATATGTAAGGTTTAGATTAATTAAATCCTGACAGTAGACCGTTTGCATGGGAATGCAAATTTGGTGGGGGAGCAAAAGAATTGCTCTTTCTGTCTTTTCTGCTTCTGCTGCTGTTGCCAACATGTTCCCAAACTCTGCTTCCAGTAAGAACTGCTACTGGTTTTCCTTCCCTAGCTGAATCAAATAAGTACCACACAAAAAGGTGCTGTTCTTTGGAAGCACAAGCCTCATGAATCTTAAACATATAGAAAAGTTTCACACAGACTTAGGCAGTTATTTAACTTGCCCAGTAGTCCCACAATCTGGGCCCATGAGTTTCACACAAGATTAATTTGTTATGAAATTGTGGGCTTGGACAGGAGAGCGTTAATGAAGTATGAATAACTTTGAATGTTTCGGTTACAGATGGGTAGCCGTGTTGGTCTGCCATAGTCAAAACAAAACAAAATTTCTTCCAGTAGCACCTTAAAGACCAACTAAGTTAGTTCTTGGTATGAGCTTTCGTGTGCATGCACACTGTATCTGAAGAAGTGTGCATGCACACGAAAGCTCATACCAAGAACTAACTTAGTTGGTCTTTAAGGTGCTACTGGAAGGAATTTTGTTTTGTTTTGAATGTTTCCTAATAGCTAGTAGGCCAAGTCACACCTTGCCTATACTGAAAGATTCTGGCTATTCAAGTTATGTGCTTCCATGGGAATTAAATGGTAGACAATTTTTTTCCTGATGAAGGAATGTTCTGAAAGGGGACTCCTCTGCCCCCTTGATAAGAATGAGATGGGCAATTTTCTGTGGAGAGAAACCACAGTTTGAGACAGAGACTAAGAAAGCATCAGAGACAAACCTTTAACCCCAGCTGCTAAAAGCTAGTGCAAGGAGAAATGTGTTCAATCTCTGAACCCCATATGTAATGGGGAAGTTATTTTGCCCTTGGTATAAATGTTCTCTTTTGGGACATGGGTGGCGCTGTGGGTAAAAGCCTCAGCGCCTAGGGCTTGCCGATTGAAAGGTCGGCGGTTCGAATCCCCGCGGCGGGGTGTGCTCCCGTTGCTCGGTCCCAGCGCCTGCCAACCTAGCAGTTCGAAAGCACCCCCGGGTGCAAGTAGATAAATAGGGACTGCTTACTGGCGGAAAGGTAAACGGCGTTCTGTGTGCTGCGCTGGCTCGCCAGATGCAGCTTGTCACGCTGGCCTCGTGACCCGGAAGTGTCTCCGGACAGCGCTGGCCCCCGGCCTCTTGAGTGAGATGGGCGCACAACCCTAGAGTCTGTCAAGACTGGCCCGTACGGGCAGGGGTACCTTTACCTTTACTATAAATGTTCTCACCGTTTCAGAAATGCTGCGTCTCTAAGGCACACCTGTAATCAAGCATAAGAAAGGTGTAGGTCACTTAACTGCTGCAGAACTGTAATAATGGAGGCTCAGAAAGATATTGTAGCTGGAGAAGAAACGAATGAATCAAAGAGTGGATCCTGCTCTCCCTCACCCCTTGCTAGAGCGTCCAGACAGAAGTGTGCTGTTCCATTTTTGCATCTCATGCCCACTTCCCCAACCGCAGCATCTATATGATGCTGTCTAGGGCTGGAAGATACTTGATTCTCAACTTTGTGATACATCAACAGCTTAACATCGCGATATACTGATATATCACAATGTCTGAAATAAGGATGGAGCTATGTAGAGGCACTGGCTGGCTTCCCAGTTCTGCCCACATTGTGATTTTGATCAAAGACAAGAGTGTAGTATCCACTGGGGACAAAGTTCAGTTCTCCGGCAGATCGATATTTAATCTATTGTGAGGAACTACCCCAAACAAAGACAAATGCAATACCATAGAGAATTTAGAGGTGGGAGAGGTACGATGTAGAGGTGGTGGCCTGATGTATACCTCCAAAATATTAACAGAAAAACAGGTGCTTTGTATGTTCTGTACCCCTAGACGATGCCAAGTACCTCGTAAGTAGTCAGCAGAATGTGGAAATCATGATTTGATTTGAAGTCCTGCTGTAGCTCAGTTCTTTCTTCCTTGTTTCCTGAATACGTCACGAGGGAAAGACTTGGAGAAAATCTGTTATAATAATAGTAATAATATTAATAATATTGAGGAAATACATAGAATACAGTGCTCTAATCAGAATCTATTAACATATGAAGCTGATTTATCTAGCCCAACAGCCTTCAGTCTCAGATGGGGTCTTCTCTATGCACAATGTGGTCTTTGTCCTAATTAACAGAAGGCCTGAACATGGCATCTGTTATATATCTTGTGGGCTACTGTGAATGGTAAGGGCACCCAGTGTTCACATTTGAGGGCAGCTGCACATACAGTGGTACCTTGGGTTAGGAACTTAATTTGTTCCGGAGGTCCGTTCTTAACCTGAAACTGTTCTTAACCTGAAGCACCACTTTAGCTAATGGGGCCTCCTGCTGCCGCCGCGCCGCCGGAGCACAATTTCTGTTCTCATCCTGAAGCAAAGTTCTTAACCCGAGGTACTATGTCTGGGTTAAAGGAGTCTGTAACCTGAAGCGTATGTAACCTGAAGCATATGTAACCCGAGGTACTACCGTATCAGGATCAAGGGAGATGGTGGAAAGGCAGGAGCGGGTTAAATAAACAAACAACATTTTATTCTACTGCTTCCCAGTGCATAGAGCTGTCATGGGCAAGTTGCCCTTTTAAAAAATTGCTATTTTAATTTGATGATAATAAAAAGGAAAAATACAACCGTTTATTTGCTACATGGTTGCTGTATGGACTTTCTGCAGGCACTCATCATAGGACTTACAGGACTTTTCAATGAAGTTTAACATCTGTAGGCCTCATTGCTTTGAGAAGCAGTGGCATGCGGTGAATTTTTCCATAGGGGACCAGTTAGGGCCAGAGGTGCTAGCTTGCAAGGGTGATGTGGAGGCTGACATCATGCAGGTCAGCAACTGCGCATCCCTTCCTAAGATGGGCAAAAGTTTCCCAGGCTTTGAGAAGGAGGCTCCAGGCTTTAATATTCTAATTTACCAGGAACATTTAGGGGGCTAGCCTAGTCCACTGACTGCGTGCCACTGCTGAGAAGATTATGAACATTTACAAAGTTTACCTTTCTAGTTCCTGCTTCCAGTTGCTTAACACAGACAGAGGGCAAAGGATCAAAAACGGCCTTTTATTAAGCTTCCCACGTAAGACAACAAGCAGAGAAATAGCCTGGAATACATGGGGGGAAATACATGGCGTCATTCATAGAAATGCAGTGCTTATAACCACTCTCTTCCTACAATGATTAAACGGGAAGGAGAGAATGAGAGACCTGGCAAGTCTTCCCAAGACCCATTTCATCACCCAGGATGCAGCCATGCCAGGTTTCATAGCAGTGTGTCAGCCAGTTTACTCCTTCCATCTGATAGGGGCGTAGATGAATGCCTAAAAAGAGAGAACATGGCATAATAACGGTAAGGTTAACCCAGAGATCTGGGTACTAGGAGGATGGATGGATTGTGCATCTTGAAGAAATAAATTATCTTGGCATAACTATTATGCCTCAAGCTTAAATGTGCTTTATACAACTCTGTAGGGGCGTCAACTTGAATAAAATGTTGGGGAGGGGCAAGTAAGCCAAGCCCCGCCCCGCATAATCGAGCACAAGACATGGCACACACACACACACTATTTGAATGGCACTGGCCATCAACTTGGGGAGGGGTAAATATTTTATTGGGGGAGCTCAAGGGACCTCAGCCCCTAGGAGTGGGCTCCAAAGATTGTGAGGTGCTCTGCACTATAAAAAGACAAAACAATACTCCCTCCTCCAGATATATGCAGTCTGGCCAGAGCTGGGAAACATTTGTACCACTTAAGTGCAGCATCCCACAGAATCATAGAATTGTAGAGTTTGAAGGGACATTTCAAGGCCGTGATGCAGGCTTCTCAACACATGCCCCCCCCCATCTTGAAAGCATATTGGGCCCTGCTTAGTTTTGCCAATGTGCCAGCAGTTTTCTTGCCGCACCCCTAGGAGCAACGAAATTTGCTCACTTAGGGTAGTGGTTTTCAACCAGTGTGCCATGGTGCCTAGAATGATGGTTAGAGGCTGTCGGGCAACATTGGCCTCTGTCCCTCTTTGCTTCCTTCCCTCCCTCCTCTGATGCCTTCTCCTGACTCTCTCTCCCAAAGACTTGCATCTGTTTATTGAAGCAGCCCTGGCTAAAAGCCCTGCTGGTGAACAGGGCCTCAGTCTGGGAGGTACCTCTCTTTGGGGTGGGGTGGTGGGTCAGCTCAGAGACCAGGGGCAGCAGCAGCGGCTGCCCAGAGGACAACCAAGGAGAGGAGAGGAGGCTAAGGGAGCACTCCCCAAGGAAGGGTGAGAGGCTGTCAGCTCTGCAGGCAAGGGTGACATAACATATATATATATATATATATATATATATATTTGCTTTCGTAGATTTTCACGGGTACAGGAATGCAGGTTTTGGTGTCCTCGGGTGTCTTCCCGTGTAAAAGTTGGGGTGTCTAGGCGACGTTTCGACGAGGTCTCACTCGTCATCTTCAGGCTGGTGCTTTCGGCTTCTTGTTACTGGAACAGAGCAGGATCTCAGTGTTTGAGTTCCTATAAATACTGTTGAGGGGGTGTGGTGTATAGCCTCCAATGTTCTGGGCAGAGAGGAAGTTCCCAGGCTAGTGTGCCTTTTCTTCTTTTGTTCCTTAATTACTTGAGGGATATCTTGAGTGATTTCTTGAGTGATATCCTGAGTACCACTTAGGTGGGTCATTAGGTGTGGATTAGTTGCTAAAGCCTTCGTGTCTTGACCTCTTGAACTTTGTGAAGAGTTTTTCTGAGAAGATGGCTGTACTGCATTTAGTTGTGCTCTGGCTTGGCTTCGTGTATAGGGGCGAGCTGTGGTTTTGTGTCCTGTGCCAGCCAGATCTGTGTAGGGATTGCAGGGGGGTGCAGCATCCGGAGGTGCCACCATGGTTTGGCTACTGGATGGTGTCTGTAATTTATCTGTGGAGAGGGTCTGGGTTTGGGTCTGGTGTGGTTGATTGGTGATGGCGTTCTGTGTGCCTCTGGATCTGGTGTCGGTTTTTGTGGGGAGGGCTAATTTCCAGATGTCTGGCAGGCGGGATGTGTCGTCACGCTTGTTCATGTTGTGAGGGTGTTTCTCTATCTCGATGGCCTCCATGATTATTCTCTTGTGGTGATGTTCCATGTTAGAGAGCAATTTGGAATCTGCAAAATTAATTTCGTGTCCTGTTTCTTTCATGTGTTGGAAAAGAGAGGAAGTTTTTTCTTCTTTTTTGACGGCATTCTTGTGTTCTGCGATACGTGCATTTATTCGTCTGTTTGTTTGTCCAATGTACGTGGCTGGGCAGACTTTGCAGGGTATTTCATAGGGTATTGGAAAACCAAGGGGTCTATGAAATACCCTGCAAAGTCTGCCCAGCCACGTACATTGGACAAACAAACAGACGAATAAATGCACGTATCGCAGAACACAAGAATGCCGTCAAAAAAGAAGAAAAAACTTCCTCTCTTTTCCAACACATGAAAGAAACAGGACACGAAATTAATTTTGCAGATTCCAAATTGCTCTCTAACATGGAACATCACCACAAGAGAATAATCATGGAGGCCATCGAGATAGAGAAACACCCTCACAACATGAACAAGCGTGACGACACATCCCGCCTGCCAGACATCTGGAAATTAGCCCTCCCCACAAAAACCGACACCAGATCCAGAGGCACACAGAACGCCATCACCAATCAACCACACCAGACCCAAACCCAGACCCTCTCCACAGATAAATTACAGACACCATCCAGTAGCCAAACCATGGTGGCACCTCCGGATGCTGCACCCCCCTGCAATCCCTACACAGATCTGGCTGGCACAGGACACAAAACCACAGCTCGCCCCTATACACGAAGCCAAGCCAGAGCACAACTAAATGCAGTACAGCCATCTTCTCAGAAAAACTCTTCACAAAGTTCAAGAGGTCAAGACACGAAGGCTTTAGCAACTAATCCACACCTAATGACCCACCTAAGTGGTACTCAGGATATCACTCAAGAAATCACTCAAGATATCCCTCAAGTAATTAAGGAACAAAAGAAGAAAAGGCACACTAGCCTGGGAACTTCCTCTCTGCCCAGAACATTGGAGGCTATACACCACACCCCCTCAACAGTATTTATAGGAACTCAAACACTGAGATCCTGCTCTGTTCCAGTAACAAGAAGCCGAAAGCACCAGCCTGAAGATGACGAGTGAGACCTCGTCGAAACGTCGCCTAGACACCCCAACTTTTACACGGGAAGACACCCGAGGACACCAAAACCTGCATATATATATATATATATATATATATCAATTTTTTTATTTATACTTTTAAGTTTAGACATTTCACTGATTTTATACATTTCATTAATTTTACAAACATTTTGACATTTCAAAACTTCCTTCCTCCTCTTTCTGTGGTTACTTAAATTTAATTTTAATATCTTCTGCATACCCAAATTGAGGGGGGTGGTGACATAACTGGGCTCCTGAGCCGCACAGGAGTTGCTTTAGGGAGCCGTGGAATCAATAAGGTTGAAAAGCTCTGACTCTTAGGGGAAACTTGGTGCAGAGCAGCCAAGCCAACGATCCCACTCACCTGCCAGCCCCCATTGCCTCAAGTGCTGCTCTTCCACGCCTGGTCCCCCTTGGCTCTCTGTGCGCTTAGCGGAGACACTTTGGAAGAAGCGAGACATCTCGGACCGCTGCTGCTGGTGGCTGCACGCTTGCAACAAAACCTCAAGCGGCGCACAAGTCTCCGCCTCCCCTTCTCTGCACGAGCCCCGGGACCCAGCTTGTTGGCAAAGCGGCTCCCGGAAGGAAAGCAACAGAGGGGCTCGCGCCTATTGGCTCGTCGGAAGGAAACCCGCTTTGCGATTGGCTGCTGCTGCTGCATTCGCAACATAACCCAGGAACTGCATCTTGCAAGGCGGTAGGCGAAAGTGCGGGGTCTGGGTTAAAGGCGGATCTACACGGATCCTCCACTTTTTAAAAAATAACTCCAACAAATCCAGTGTCAAATTACACCTGGAAGGCACGCCTACAGACTGGACTATAAAAAGTGGATCCAACACTTTGCTTCGCTGCAGCACCACAAAAACATGGATCCGAAGCAAGGATCCTGATGAATTCATTTGATTTTTATATTGAAACAAAATAAAAACACGATGATACTCTCTACACCACATAGGCAGAGCCTATGTAGGCAGAGCCAAAAAAAATCACGCATCCACTGTTTCATGGTGCCGCAATGGCGCAAAAATATGGTTAAAAAACATGGGTCCTCATGATTTTTGCACTGGATCAGTCTGAAGTCACCATCAGATCAAAAATCACGGCCATGGGCACAGCATGAAACACAAAAATCAGAGCGAGGAGCCCAAGGCTCACCTGGAAAGCGCCGTGGACTCTTCCGGTGTAGGCCAGCAGGGGGCGCCAGGCACCAGAGGACGAGGCGAGCTTTGCCACAGGGGGACAACGTGGGGGACAACGTGGCCACCGTTGCTCAGCTCCAACGTGAAGCTCCTGTTGAGTCCTGCAGGGGAAGGGCGGAGGGGTGAGGGACCCGGGTTCATCTAGTCTGACCCCAGCGAGGATTGCGGATTGCCATCTGGTCTCAGCCGCTCTCGTTTTTATCAGTCCCCAATGGGGGACGGGAAGCAGGGCATCAGTAAATGTCATGATAAGAATGATCAGGATGGTATTTCTTTATGCCGACCCTACCAGGCAGTTCAGTAGTCTGGAAATCAATAAATAATAATTATATGATATGATACGTCCTGAAGTTTAGAAACGTATTATGTGATATTGATATGGAATTATGAGAACCGTGCCAGGCGGCATTTCCCCCACCGCACCAGGAAAAAGGCCGAGTAGGTGGCTCTGCGCCTGCTGGATTTCTGACCGCCAGTGCCCCAAGCTGTCTCGGCCATGCTGTATGTACCAAGCGCAGAGCTCACAGGCTGAGGCCGCATTGCTCAGGGTTGGCGAGTGGAGTCAGGCGGGGGCAGCAGGCGGCTTGCCTCGCTGCTCTCAGGTGCTCATGTACCAGCCTGAGGGGAGGCCGGGGGGTGCCAGTTCAAAGGGGTGCTCTAACCGCTAAGCAATGCTTCCCCTCCCTTCAAATGAAGCACGTTTACTCTGGTCGGTGCCCAGCGTGTGGTTGAAAGGGGGGTTGGTGCTGCGCACCCAGCATTCCACCCGCCCTGGGCGCCACCGGTACCCAGATGTGCTGACCTCCTCCCAGACGCAGGTGGTGCCTTCAAAGTCGCAGGCCAAGGTGGTGCCCGGCAGTGCCAGCCCATCCGGTAGTCTGGAAGAAGGAATCAGGCGCCCTGAGCAAGCTACAGTTCCCAGCATTCCGGGCACCAAGTGCTGTTAGGAGACCCCTGTTCCCCCCATGAGCTACAGTTCCCAGAGTTCCCCAGGAAGAGAAATGGGCTTGGGAACTGTAGTTCTGTCAAGAGAATCACAGCCCTCAACACCCAGAGCAGGCAATCGTTTCCAGGGTGCTTTGGGGGACATTGTGGGAACTGTAGCTTGTTCAGTTTCCCAAGCAGACCCTCTCAGAGCTATAACTCCCAGAGTTTCCTTGGAAAGGCTGTGTGGAATAGTCTCCTCCCATAGGAAACTACAGTTCCCAGGGTGCTTTGAGGGATGTCAAGATGGGTTAAATCATTCTCTACGAGGGGAATTGAGGCACGTCTCCCCGATTCCTTTGGCGACGCCAAAACTTACTGCAATGGCTCTTGTCAGAGCAATCCCAGCAGTCGCAGGCAAAGTTGCAGGTGCTGGCACTTGAGTTCCCATAGGCGCCCCAGCTAGGAAATGGAGGCCCAGCTGGGGGGGGCGCGGAGGGGAAATTGCCATTAAAAGGAGAGGAAGAGTGAGAGAGAAGGGGAGCATCCTAGAATGGGAGAGATGGAAGGGCCTCAAGGGTCATCTAGTCCAACCCGCTGCTCAGAGCTATAATTCCCAGGACTTTGGGAAGTGAGAGAGGGAAGAGAGAGAGGGATGGGATTTGCAGCCCCCATCTCCCTTCGCCCCCCGGCTCACCCCAGCCCAGCAGGGCACCCCACAGCACCCGCAGGCGCGCCATCCTCCCAGCAGCGCCCAGCAGAACTTCGCCCCCAACTTATGTGTGCACCGGCAGGGCGAGGCGGGCCAAAGGCTGAAGGGGCGGAGGCACAAAGCAGGACTTTGGCCCCTGCACCCCAAAAGACATGGGGCTCCCCTGGCATCCCAGGCGCCTCTTCTGCTCTGGCGGAGCCTCCTGGGCCAGAGGCAGTCTACCTGGGCTGCTCCTGAGGGAGCTTGGAAGCAGCACTCAGGGAAACGCTGCGAGGAGGAGAATAAAGAGAATGCTAATAATGAGGATTATCATTAATAATAATAATAATAATGAGAAACCTTAATTATAAGGTTATAAAATTATATATTAATATAATATAATATAATATAATATAATATAATATAATATAATATAATATAATATAATATAATATAATATAATATAATATAATATAATATAATATAATATAATATAATATAATAATAACAAGGATAAACCAGGCCCCTCAGGCACTGTTGGGACTCCTCCCTGAGGGGATTTGGGGGGGGGGCCCTCTGGCCTTCCTTCTCCGCAGGGACCCCCAACGAGGCGCCCGCCTCACGAGGGAGACCAGCGCCACCCAACGGCAGGCTAGGTCCCACTGCCCTCAACCAACATGGCGGCGGTGGCGCGTCTTCTGCCCTTTCTTCCCCCCTCCGGTCCGTTTCCCTCTTTCCCGTCATGCTCCGCTCCCCCCCCCTCCCAGCTCAGCGCACGCGCCCAGCAGCCACAGGAGCAATAAAAATCTCGGCGGCGATAGGTCGGCCTTTTGGCCAATCCCAGGTCGGGTTGTGGGCGGGCCAGGCTTTTGGCGCCTTTTCTCCTCAGCGTCTCCCGCGCCCTTTACGCGAAGGAAGCGTGTGAGTTTGGTCGTCTTTTTACTACTGTCTTCTGTTGGGAGCCAGCAATAATAAAGGATTATCATCATTGATTTTTAAATTATTACTTTTGTTATTATTATAAAAGGCTTAGAGAAGTTTGTAATTATTATGTTGTGTCGCGTTTTTAATATTCTGCTGGGAGCAGCCCACAGAGGCTGGGGAAGGGTAATATATTATGATTATCATTAATTTTTAAATTGTTATCATCATTATTATAATTGTTCTTACTATAAAAGGGTTAGGGAAATTTGTAGTATATTACGTTTTATCATTTTTTAAAATATTCTGTTGGTGGCTGGGAAATAGTAAGAAATTATTATTATTATCATTAAATGTTAAATTATTTTTATTTTAATAAATCACACCCACCCAAGTGGGACATGGCCTCTTCCCCCCTAAGCCTTTAAAGTATAGTATTTTTATTTATTTGAATTGGGGTCGGGAAAGCTCCCCTTGGCTGCAGCAACTCCAGGGGTGGGAAACCGCTGAGGAGAATCGGCTGAGAAACAGCTGGGAGGAGAAAAAGCGGGAAAGGGCTGGCCCCGCCCACCGCCCGGCCTGGGATTGGCCCAAAGGCCGACCTATCGCCGTCGAAGGCCCTCCACCAAAATGGTGGCGTGGCGCCTCTTCTGCCCTTTCTCCCCCCCTCCGGTCCGTTCCCTCTTTCCAGTCCCCTTGCCCTCGTCCAAAATGGCCGCCCTAGGTACCCCCTCGCTCGACGCACGCGCCCAGCAGCCGCTGCAGCAGTAAACTCGGCGGCTATAGGTCGGCCTTTTGGCCAATCCCAGGTCGGGCTGTGGGCGGGCCAGGCCTTGGGCGCGTGTTCTCCTCAGCGTCTCCTTCGCCATTTTCGCGAATGAAGCGCGTGAGTTTGGTCGCGGTTTTAAGACTCTCTTTTGTTGGGAGCGGGCGGGAAATAATAATAAAGAATTATCACAATTTATTTTTAAATTATTATTATTATTAGAAAGGCTTGGTTGAAGTTTGTAATATATAACGTTTTGTCAAATTTTTTAATATTCTGTTGGGGAAGGGGAATAAATGAGGATTATCCTTCATTTTTAAATTGTTAGCATTATTATAATGGTTCTTATTATAAAAGGGTTAGGGAGATTTGTAGTATATTATGTTTTATCGCTTTTTAAATTTTCTGTGGGTGGCTGGGAAAGAGTAATACATTATTATTATCATTAATTTTTAAATTATTGTTTTTATTATAAAAAGGTGAGGGAAGTTTGTAGTATATGATGTTTTATCGTTTTTTAAAATTTTCTGTTGGTGGCTGGGAAAGAGTAATTCATTATTATTAGCATTAAATGTTCAATTATTATTATTATTATAAACTACACCATCCCAAGTGGGACACGGCCTCTTCCCCCCCTAAGCCTTAACATTATAGTATTTTTATTTATTGGAATTGGGGCAGGGAAGCTCCCCTTGGCTGCAGCAACTCCAGAGGATCTGGCTGTGAGTTCAGATCTCCATTGCTTCCCCCCTCAGGCCGCCTTTAATGTATTGAAAACTGTACCCGAACAGTGTATTGTTCAGATGAAGCACTGCTTGAAGCGGTGCTTTTGTAACCAGCTAATTCCTCAAGATCCTAATTCTTTCACTTATTACTATTTTTATTATTATTAAATGAACCCTTTGGTTCCTTCGCATATTCCTGCCTTGCAGCGGGTGGGACTGGATGACTCTTGGGGTCCCTTCCAGCTAGATGCACCATTATATGATTCTTGGGAAAGTGCTTCAGAAAGAAGAAACAAGAATAAACAAGAAAAAATAAAGGAGAAAAACACATTTCTTCCAGTTAGTCGTACGCTAGCTCCTTTCCCACTTAATTATTTCTTCCACTGCAATCTGTGCTGGACATATTATATGTTTGCTTTGACGTGGACCCCTCTTTCACTTCTTGTGAAAATAATTGACATTATTGATATTTCTTAGGTCTGCTCTGCTGAATTCCTGTTCTGAAAAGGAGGAGGAGGAAACTTCGCGTGATGAAGGGAGAAGAGGAGATGGAGGAAAAGTCATGAAGGTAAAAGGTAAAAAATAGAAATACATATTAATATATAACATTTAAGAACATTTTTCAACAACCCCACTCCTGATATACCACACCCACCCAAGTGGGGCTTGGCCTCATCCCCCCTAACCACCACAGTACAGTACAGTACAGTAAAAATACAGTAAAATAATTTTATTTATTTGATTGGGGTAGGCCAGCACCTCCTGGCTTCACCCATGTTGGTGAGGTTTGTTTCCTATTCCTTTTCTTGTTAGGCTATCTAAAGGTGACAAAGCAATGTGTTGAAAACTTAATTTCTTCAGATGAACCATTGCTTTAACCAGGTAATTACTCAAGGCACTGATTCTTTCACCTATCGATTTATCCACATAATCCAACCGGAGATTAATTAGCATCCAAAAGTGGTACACTTGCACGTTAAATTTTAAGATAAATGTTTTGGAAGAGGCATAAATTAAAAAAGATAATTAATTTGCAAGGAAGCCCAGTGA